TGGGCCAAAAAGTTCTCCCTTTCGGGGCCGCCCGGCCCGCAAAATTGGTTGCGGCGAAAAGTTGGGGCCGCCGGGCGGACTCGGGCACTTCCTGGGCCAAAAAGTTGTCCCTTGCGGGGCCGCCCGGCCCGCAAAATTGGTTGCTGCGAAAAGTTGGGGCCGCCGGGCGGACTCGGGCACTTTCTGGGCCAAAAAGTTGCTCTTTTTCGGTGCCGCCCGGAACGCAAAATTGGTTGCGGCGAAAAAGGGGGGACACCTGGCGGAGTCTGGCACTTTCTGGGCCAAAAAGTTGCGCCTTTTCGAGGCCGGCGGCGGGTAATGCTCCCGTCTCGGGGGGCGCCCGCATCGGCCACCAGAGGCGGCGAATGCCCTCGTCCCTGGGGGCGCCTAATGCAGCTACCAAACGAGAATCGGCTGGCGACAACACAGGGGCTTGGCAATTTTTTCAAATTTTGGAAAGGGACTCAGCCGAATAGAAATAAAATTTTGCAATTTCGCGGATTTTGTTTGTGGTAGAAATAAAATTTTGAAAATTCGCGTTCGTAGGTAGGTATAGTAATATTGCCATCATCCCTGCTGCGAACCGATGCGCGCCTAATTTCCCCGTCCCCGGGGACGCCCGCATTAGCCACCGCCTGTGACTAATAATGGAGCTACATCAAAAAAGTAGAGGGAAGGCAGGTAGGTATCGGCACATGAAACAAAAATAAACCTTTGAAACTTCGTGGAGTCGTGGTGGCCATAGAAATAAAACTTTGAAGTTTCGGTATTTCTTTCTGCGTTCATAAAACGAAAAAAAATGAAACTATGGAACTGAAATTTCGGGTTGACGCTGAGATCAAGATCGAGTGCGATAAAAAAAGAAAATTCTATATCGCATGGATCTTTGTTTCCTCGCAGAAGCCATCAAATGAAATTTTGCTCACGCCCATTGTTGTTAGAGGGAGATCCAAGTGCGCCATTGTGCTTGAAAGACATGACGTGAGGAACGAAAAGCGATGCACTAGTGGTTTGAACCTGAGTGATCAGATCAAGGAGACGCGTTGCGAGATCAATAGAAAGACGCGATCAACAAGGAGTCGCTGCTATATACAATCTGCAATTTATGCGATCAACGCGATCAGAATCTGAATCCATCGCGTTCTCGTACGTACTATTCTGAAATTGGAAGATAACTTGCATTTGCGTGAGTGTAGTCGTACTCTGCTGAAGGAATCTTACCGAACCACTTGCCAGGACCTGACCAATAAAATAGAAAATCAGTCGCAATTTCGTTGTACTACGGTCAAGGCTTTTAGACTTAGCTGCAGCATCGCCTACCTTTGTTTCGAAAACTGTTTTACTTGTTGGCGCCCCAGCATAAAATATAAGAGTATTAAACAAGGAAGTGGAAGGAATCAGCAGTCATGATGAAGCAGGCAGACGTGGAGGTGGACCAAGATGACGATCGTCAGAGTTCTTCGTCTGTGGACCACATAGAGCTGCAAAGGCAAATGTCGCAACCCTCTCAGCAAACACTGGAATTATTGCAGGATCTGGCCACACAGTACAACGACTTAGTGGAGCGCACGAACGAGATCGAGGCTGAGTTTCGGGCTGGCCAGGTCACGACCGGAAAGGCAACCACCGACCTGTCGCAGATTGAAGCCGCTGCGAATAAGCTACAAGAGAAAGGAGTTGACTCGGTGCAAATCGCGGAACTGCACTCTGGCAAAGAGACGGCCCGGGCGCTGCGGCGCAGCCTGAACGCGGGTCTGGAGAGCTTCTTCGAGCGGTTATCGGACTTGTTCCGGGATTTGCGCGCTGCGAAGACGGTGGAGCAGAACGCAGCTGACCAAGCGCACGCGAATCTGTCGCACAAGCCGCGGGTGAGGAAAAACGTCAGGAGTCCGAAGCTTGCGTCCCCTGTACTTTTTCCCGAGGAAGCGGCTGCAGGAGCTCCTGGAGCAGCAACTTCTACTGAGGGTGTCGGCACTACGAGCGAGCGCACTCCTCGGCGTCAGACCGGTCAGGATGCAGCCGAGGAGCCGCTGAGGCGAAGGGAAGTAAACGTGCACCCAGGCCGCGTGGGACGAGATACCGCTTTTCCCGATAGGCCTGATCCTTATTCGGATCCTTTGGAAGAAGAGCCGGACGCGCCCGATCATGCGTTGGGGCATGCTGCACGTGGAGCTCTGCGGGGAGAACGTCCACGAGAGATGCCGCATTTTCCACCCCGAACACGCGGCCCGCCACATGAACGCAAGCGGGCAGACCGCAGCAGGGAGTTTTTGGAAAATGACGAGGACGAAGATCAGGACTTTTCGCACCAGCATGATAATCTCGAGCGGCAGCGGCGACTGCGAGAAGCGGCGGCGCAGCAAGAGTACGACCGGCGACGCCGGCGATACATCGAGCAACAACGCCGCGCGCGCGAACAGGACCCTTTCGGCATGTTTGGCCCCTGGGGCGGCCTCGACCCGTACCGGGGCCGCGGGTTCTTCGGATTTTGATGCTGAGGTAAGTGCGCAGAAGCTTTGGCACTTACTGTTAAACTATTTATTGGAGGTAAAAATTCTTTGTCGAGGTGAACTCCACCACGACAACCGACTGAAACACTGTTATTTTCGATCAGGAGATTATGCGAACCCCCGCACTTCTCACACACTATACTAACTCCGCTAAGTAGCAGTTGGGTATGATCAGGTTCCCCCCACTTACGCCCAGAAACTAAAGAAGAATTGAAGTAACCCTACTACAGCGTCGCAGCTGAGCCACAAGAACCTTCCCGAGTGGTCCTTGTCGCGCTGCTCAGAAACCTTTCTATAAAAACGGTTCTACCTGCTAGTGATTTTTGTCAATCTCGGACGATCCGCAGCAAATCACTTTTCTAAAACTATGCTTCCATCACCCTGGCGGTGGCGCAGAAGTCTCGCAGTTATTTCCGACGGTCTGTTCCAATCCTGTTCCTTTTTGATGTCGTAATTCTCGCAGCGGCTTCCGTGGGACATGAACCTCAAAAACAGTCCAAGCAATGCATGTTAATGATGTGTTCATGTCCTCGTCCTCGTCGTTGTCCATTGTGGGTGTGATCTGAGCTTGAAAATCTAAAGCAGTTTCAACTTTGGTCAATGATTTTCACCTGCAGTCAGTCGCAGGAGCACGGATGCCAGACGTATTGTAGCTACTTCTTCTAGAGCGTCGTAACAAACGACACAAAAAACATGGCCCCTGTTCGTTACAGGATTGATCTTCTCTCAAACGCCCAGCGACATAACGGGTCGTCGCAGCTGGTCACAATAGTCCGCTTGTCGCGCCGAGGCTACGATGGTGATGTACAGCAACAGGGGCTCTTTTTCGGCGGTGCGTGTGCCAGCCGGAGCGTGTCGAGTGACCGCAGACGATACATCTCATCTGCGTCACCGGATTTGGATGGAGTCACGAGGGGGCAGAACATGTTGCAAGAACCAGGAACGTCGCGAGTTGTAGCGGTTGAGTCCACTTCATCTGCAACGCAGGCGGCAAACACTCCGACACAACTAACCCGTTTGTGTGTGGAATTTCACGAAATGTTTCTGGCGGCACAGAAATCTGCGCGAAAGATCATGCCACGCGAACAGCTGTCATCCTTCGCGGATCAATTTTTGACTTTTCGCGAGCTGTTGCGGCCTGGAGAAATCGCCATGATTTTGAATCACGTTGCACGGAGCAAGTGGCACGGCCGCGGGCAACATGGCAGAACGAGCGAGCTGCACGGGCAGCAACAAGTCCTCGACAAGCTGTGGAAGGGTCTGACGGAGGTCGTCGACCTGAACCTCTGCGAGTCCGGCGACACACTGGCCACCATCGCGAACGCATTCGCAGTGGCCAAGGACCGCGACGTGGATTTTCTCAAGCGCCTTGCGGATGAAGTGGTTGTCCGCTTGGATGAGCTTGACGAGATCACGACATTCCAAATCTCTCAATCGAAGGGGATTGGGGTCGGGAAAAGTGACATGGAAATCGAAACTGGTTCATCCCTCCCTGCGGAGCGCTTTGAAAGTGGAAATCGAAATCCCGAGTCACAGACGGCACGCAAACCCGAGATAAACTGTGACGCGGTGTTAGCAAGCATAACACCAGAAGAGCCAAGTTCGTTTTCGTCAGATGACGGCGCAGCCACCTCTGCTCGGGACCTGCAGATCTTGATTTCTGCAAGAAGTGCTGCGATGCTGGTGAACGCTTTCGGAAGACTGCAAGTTCGGCATGACGCTTTCCTTGACAAGTTGTGCAGCTACGTTGTGCACTTCCTTTTACCGATGGAGCAGCATGGGGAACACGGCAAGATACCGCGACGGAAAATGAATCAGCATCTGTGCCAGCAGATTAACTTCGTCGCGCCTCTCAGCGTCAATGCGATCGACGTTGCAAATTTCCTGAACGGCTTTGGCAAGCTCGATTACTACAACGCGGAGCTGTTTCACCAGCTTCCGTACGAGAGGTTGACAGAGAGGTTCGAACAATCTCACGTTGCCATGATAGCCAATGCCTTTGCCCGCGTGCAATGCACGGACGCGCCGCACGTAATAAGCCTCCTTTGCCGCCGGGCGAGACAGCTCTGCTCCGTGTCTCCTTTTGTGGATGGTGTCGAGAAGTGGAGGAAGCAACGGAGCACGGGCCTAGTCCGCGTACAACCAGCAGGTGAGTTTTGTACAGCGGACGGCGTACTAAGCGAACCGGAGTCCTGGCCTACTGCGGCAGGACCAGAAAAAAACCGTTCGACGCCGCATGCCGTTGCCCCTGCGAACAAAAAATCGAGAACCAAGCCAGAGAGTGCGTCTGCGTTCCTGTTGCCGAACTACTTGCCCAGCATCGTCCACGCCCTCGTGGTCCGCTTGAAGTTGGAAACCTTCGACAATTTCGAGGACCTGAGGGAGGCATGCTATCTGAGCTTGGCGCAGACCGACCCTGCAAAGTTCGAAACGATGGACTTTGTACTGCTGCTTTCGGCCCTGCCGAAACTTTTTCCACAGCACGACTACACGCTCCGTGTTGCAGCAAAGAAAAAGAAAAACAGTCCTGGAACCACAATGAGCAGCACAGAAACGGCGCAGATGAAACATCTTCCAACGATAGGAGAGGTAGCTACACCCGTCTTCGTGCAAGCAGCTCAGATTGCTTGCGCGTTCCACGGTCATGCCTTGCCAGCAATCATGTGGGCGGCAGGCCATTTGCGGATTTCGCATCCGGACTTTTGGGCGCCTGCGCTCCACGTACTCACGGAAAGTTTGCGGTGCGCGCGCGGAAGCCTCGACATGAGCAAGTCTGGGAGGGCCCTCTTTTTTGCGCCACCAAATAGGATGTTGTCCTCGCGCGCCCAGGATGTGGATATCGGATCAGGTGCGTCGGATATCGACGCCGCAGCGAAAGTAACAGCCAGAGTTGACGAACACGTGGATGCTCTGGCTCAGACACTTTCCTGCCCAGATCGAAACTGGTGTCTTAAAAGCTTGGCGCAGGCGGCTCTCGGTGTCGCGCGGTGGGCCGAGCAGCTGGAAAAACACTCAGCGTCGAGCAGCACGCGCGCATTTTTCGATGCTCTGTCAAGAAAAGTTGTGGACAACCCACAACTTTTGTCCGGATGCGCGACCCGTGGGCAGCGAGATGGCGGACAACCTATGTCGAAGCAGGAAATAGCTCAACTGGCGACTGCGTATCGGAAAGTGGACATTGCGGACCAAGCAGTATTTGATTTACTCGGCTTCGCCTTCGTGCAGCTATCGCCCTTGATTGCCGCTGGAGGTAGAGCTGAGAGAGCGAGCCCCACGACTTCACGGGCGAGCAAGGAATCCGGTGGCGAACTAAAGAAGGACACACTCAAGAACAGTGAGGATTTTCAAGATATCGCAATTCTTGACGCTTTCGTTCATTTGGGATTGCAGCATCCTCACAGAGTTTTCAGCGACCGCATTGTTGAGCGAGAGCGCGAAAGCCTACAGGGTGGAGAATTTGTGGCATACGAAATTACCGCGCAAGGGTCTGAAGTGGCAGATTTTTTCGATGAGGAAGCCGAGGCGCCAAAGCATGAAAAGACTCATGGCGCAGGTATGGTATAGGACGATAGGGTGTGTAGCGAGCGGCCGGTTTCACCTAGCCGCGTAAGTAGCCGTGCGCATTGGAATCTTCTGTACTGGCACCAGAACATGCCGCCCTTGAATTGACACATCTAAAGACAATTTTGCTGTAATCTCGCTCTGGCCCCTGCAGCGCATGTGTGATGATAACTCACAACGAAAGAAAACAGTAGTGCGGCTTTTTCGCTGCGAGAATCTAATTTGCCTAATGTTGATCGGGTTGTCGTTGTCCTCGATGCAGTAAAGGATGCTGCATGCGATTGCAGATCGCCGTTTCTTTTTATGTTGGCAACACGGTGTTGCGCTCTTTTGGTTTGTTTCTTTCCGATTCGAAAGATCAGCTACAGTGTGCGGCTTTTTGATCCGTTTAAGTTTCATTCTGAAGATCATTCGCGCTCGCACTAGAACCACTTACATCGGAGGCCCATGACGATCGAAACTTTGAAGCGTTAGGAAAAGGGGGCTTGTGTAGTTGCAGCTAGAATAGGAAGGAGATCATGCGTGTCTTTTTACTGACCGCCCTGGCGGCTGTGTCAGCCGAAGCGCGGTCCCTGCTCAGCCGAAGCAACACACATCACATGGATCTTGTGCAGAAAGCGACGAATGCCACGGTGACCGGCGAGGTTTACTTTAGCGATAACAAGATTTTCGGTGCAGGTGTTGGTGGGTCGCAATCGTCGATGGATTGCCAGAAAGTCTCTGCCAACTACAGGGAAAGCTCGACGGAACCGCGCATCAAGGTACGGAATTTGTGATAGTCTACGTATTTTGAAAGCACGATCTTAAATGTTCGTGCGAACTAAAAGATAACAGACATGCTGAAGCTATATAGTGAAGGACTGTAGGTCTACCGTGTTTCTTTTGTCTCAATCTAAATCAAGATCAACTTTACAAAATTTAAATCTGAATAGGTGTGCGGCGTGAACCTGAAAGTCACCTTGTTCCTGTGGAACGACTGCCAAGCTGGTTCCGTCAGCCCGCTGGAGATCGGTGCCTGCGACTCGTCCAAGCCCGCCTCGACGTGTGAGGAGTTCTCGCCCGGGAGCGAGGGAGCCCCAGCAGGCATGCAGCACTTCCTCAGTTACCAGATCGGCAACTGCGAAGCATAAAAACTTTAGCAATTTGTTTCGCAATTCTGACACATTTGCGTTCTCTCGTTCCGCCGTGCTACACGGAACTAGTTTATCTTTATGTTTTTGATGCCTAGTGCGCGAGCGTAAGAATCTTTTAAGCTGATAGAAGCTTTCTTGGGAGAGCACGCATGCTTCTGTATCGTATCATTGTAACACTGAAATTGAATCTTTATCGTATCAAATTGGTAGCGTGTTGTTTTTTGTATCGTATCATTGTATCATTTCACCTAAAAAAAACCTCAAATCGTATCATTGTAGCATCGTATCGTATCATTTTTGTTCACTGGTGTGGGTTTTACCAAGACGTGCTTCGCATTCAGCAAAGGAGGTGCTTGTTTCGCGTTTGGTGCTCAGTAACCGAAGAGTCACATGTACAAAGTATGATTGTGTCATCAAGCAAGGGGTAAACGAAAAGATCGGACTGCCCTTCTTTATACTGTAAGATGAAGGTGAAGCTACTTCCGTGGCGTGTTACTTAGCTGTTGCACATTCTCAACAAGGTGCTTAGAAGTCTTTGTATGATACCATAGGCCTTCCACAATGGTTTTGTACATCACTTACTTGCAAATGGGGTGGTGTGGTTCCACTGCGCACTTTCAGCGTAGGCGTGATTGCAATCAAGAGATTGATCATGGCGGTCCGAGGGCATGTGAGGCCGAAAAATTCATGGTGCGAGACCCAGGACACTCACAGTGAGGATTTAAATTGCCCGAACAGGAGTGCGAGAGACAGGAATAGAGTGAACATGAGTTGCTGACCGCAGCTGATAGGATGTAGAGACCATCGCAAGATGCCTGTTTGCGCGTTGCTGGTCCGCTTTGTTGGACTCGTTGCCTCGTCCTTGGTACACACAATCTCGGGCGCGCAGCTTGCAGGTCTAGAACATTTCGACCAAAACACGTTCGCTGCTGAGCCCGAGCTGTTTTACCAAGACCGTTCCGTGCTCTACCCATCTGCTTCATCCGTGACGAAGGAAAAGCAATCGCCCGCAGGAATTTCGTGTGAGGACACTGCTGAGACAGACTTTCACAGCGCCAGAGGCGACAGTTCGCCAGGTTGTCACACGATTTGTACCAACGACACTAGCGTTCGCATACCTACGTTGCCTGCAGCAGGGCCATGTGCAGCAGGTGTTGGCGGCTTTGAAAACCACGAGAAGCCGGCGACGGAAGATGATGCAAGGTTGTCGGCATCACGGGAAGTATCGCCCGAGTCCCTTGCTGCCAACTTGTCTGAGCTGTCCCTCACTGGCCACGTTGGCTCGGCAGCGCCTGGCCGGAGTGGTGATCGCGGGAGAGAACGCGAGTGCCGACAGGCAGATAGTCATCCGAGAGAAACTTCTGCGGGGGAAGTTCAAGTTGTGAACCCGCTGATGCGTTTTTGTCACCCAGGCATTAGAAAGCACCTGATGCGTCCCCGATCGCGCAGCTCCTCTCAATTTTCTTCTTCCGAAGATACTACGAGCCATAGTGCGGAGGCGCTCGACAGTAAGAAAGACACGACTCGCGGCGACGATACCGTGCATATTAGACCTTCGAACGGTACCAGCAATTACCTCCGACCAAGGAATTTCTTCGTGAAGGTAAATAAGGAGAGCGTTTTTGAGACAGGCTCGACGACGTCCGCGGAAGGCAAGTCGAAGATGGCAGCGTCAGAACCTGCAATCCTTGCACAGAAGACAAGTGACGATTTGTGGACCTCCCAGGAGAAGTCGCTGCACGAGGCACAGGACGCGTCCGCTTCGTGGGACACCGATAGTTCCACGCCGAAAACTGCTCACGACGCCAAAAACGCATTTAGGGCAGATGAGAGTGCGGATGAGCTTATCGGTTTGGAGCAAATAATTTCTTGGTCACGATACTGGTCTCCCGTTTTCGAGAACGAGGAGAAGTTTTTCAACAGTACCTCTATCGCAACGCCGCGGGAGACCGAATCGTCGATGCGCGAGGTAGCAGAGGAGTGCGCCGGTGCGGTTGTTTCACGAGAGGCCACAGATGGCGGGACGGGATGCGAGCACAACGACTCCCACCCTCCATGCGCAATGGAAAATGATTCCGGCGCCACGACAAACAGTCCCAACGTATCCGCACATTCTCCCGCCGCAACGGCGAGCAGCGCTGGCGTGGCTACGAGCGATACCGGCCTCATGGCAACCGAGGATTCTGACGCCGCATCTATGCCGCTCTGGATGAGGCAGCAACGTGACCGCAATCGTGAACTGGTTTTGAAGTCACCGGGTGACAAGGCCGGGTTTGCTGATGCGTGGTTGCTGGAAGTGCAGAAAGCGCTCGAAGAGAAGACGAGAACCCCGGTACCGGACTGGATGCGAAGACAGGAACGAAACAACAAGCGACTTCTGGGCGACAGGTCGTCCATTCGAGCGCGATTACAGCAGAACGGCTTCGTAGCGCCTCGGTCTGATCTTGGTGTTGCTCTTTTCGGGGCCACGGGGCCGCGTGGAGCGGAGTTCCGTCAGAGCTCTACCTACGAAAGAGCAATGGCCGAGTTGCTGGAAGCGAATGAACAGCATTTGAAGCCATCAGACGAAAGCTCCGAGGACGAAGTGGTTCCGAGCTCCGCAACGCACGTCGAACCACACAATTTAGGGAACTACGTATCTTCGACCACTGGAGCGATGACCGAGAAAGAAGACACCCCACAAGAGCTGCCCGCGACGATGCAGGATGCCGTACTATCCGGGACCTTTTCAGCAGCCCATGACGATACCGCATCCGTGACCTCTTCACTAGTAGTTCACCAGCCCGGCGAGCCCAAGGAAGCTACTGAGGATGAAAGCCAGGAAGAGCGCAGGAGCGTCGTCGAAGATGTACGGCGAAGACGGTTGGTGCACGCCGGAGACCACGCACCTGCTGCTTCAGTACCGTCTGGTTCGCCGGATTCAGATTTTTCGTCTACGTTCGATGGCCGAGGTGGGCGGGGTGCGAGTCCGGCCCTGCTCAGGCGGCGACTGTACGTGCCATCGAAAACCGCCCACGTGGCTGCACATAGCAGAGGATCTTCCCGGGCAAGAAGTAAAGACTGCACCAGCGGTCCTTTCTCGGGCGTTCTGCACAAGAGCTCTTCGAGCCTCACCCGTAAGAAAATGCAGTTTTGCGCGCGCCCGCCTTCACAGCGCAAAAGACGAACCGGACGCAGCCCGGTGGCTCTGCTGGTCCCTGAGAACGAAACCTTGTCGGCGCACGACGCAGATGCGGAAGGCAGCACCGGTGGTGCGGTGGTGGCGGCCGCACCGATGGGGCGAGCAAGTAGTCGGTCGAATAAAGGCCGCCCGCGGTCGGGCAGCACGAAGAACCGTCGGAAGCGAACTGGAATCATGCGGTATCTGCATTCCGTGGTGTCTTTGCCGAACGGAAGTGGCCGCTTTTTTCAGCGTGTTCACCTGCCCTCGATTGCCGCTCTGTATGACGAACAACCAGCGGAACAAGCACCTTCATCCAACTCAGTCAGTGCCACCGCGGTCAACGAAACTTTGCATATTTGAGTATCGTAAATGTATACGATACACCTAGACGATAACGAACTTCTTCGACGCATATTCAAGTTGGCTGATATTTGTTTCATCGAGTTTTGTGTCATCCACAATCCTTGTTTCTGAAAATGTAGTGTCTTGGCCATACACCATGGCAAAAGGTTGAATGTATTCGTAGTTCGGCGGCTGCGGAAATCTACAAAAATGAAAAAAAAGGCGGTAGCGAGGAATACATGGTCCCGAGAATATGACAACTGTGCGTCTCTTTCATCTTCTTGAGGTATGAATTAAAAGCGAAATTATGTGTTGAGATCACATTGAGTGCTTAGCTTGCAAAACAATTCTTTCAGATAAAAAGGAGACCGCTGCGTCGAATTGGAAATTTCCGTCAAATAGGTTGTTGCCAACGAAATTGCACAGGTGTATCAGATTTGAATCCTGATGCTGTTGTTCAGGAGGTGCGAAGAGTGAGCCTGGGGCAACATGAGCACGTCATGCAGTTGCTGAGAGCTGCAACGTCAACGCGAAAAATACAAATGCGAGTTGGCTCCCTTGCTCTTCGAAACACCGAAGCGGTGATTCGGTGCGGATCATTTTTCTCGACACAATTTTTTCTCTTTGATTACTAGGGAGAATTGAGAAGAATCTATTCACTCTGAACAAGTGTTTCTGGTGCTGCGGACGAAGACCATGCCAATGTGCATGGTTTCTTTACATCACCTGCGGGCTCGCTTCCTTCCTCGCTCGTCTCTTGATGATCCAGGGTAGTCGTGGACAATAAGGGTGTTCTTGTGGTCGTTTTGTCGGCGCGCCGATGCAGCAGCGCTCGCGGTGTCACGGTGTGTTGCCGTGCTGCCTACTCCTGGTACCTTCTTCAGTCTTGTGGCCATCGGCGATAGTTCCAGCAACGGCTTCGAGCGGAACGCTTGAACGTTCGCGGCCGAGGCGCTTGTCGTATCTCTCGTCGTTTTTCGCCGGTAAGCCGAAAGCGCCTGGTGATCTTACCAATTTGCTGGACATAGCAACAGACGATGACGAAGAAGCACTAGACGGACTTGGTGCAGCCGCAGGGACAACAGTGACCCGACCTCTCGCAGCCGCCCTGTTTCGGGGAGCGTCGGATCGAATCGAAGATGAAGAGGACATGGTCGACAACGCTGCTCATGATCATGTCGGGTCTATATCAGTACCTGCTGCTCCTGCGGTGAAGAAGAAAATGCAAATGGGCAACATTTCTGCCACTGATGCCGCATCGAAACATCGCACAACGAAAACTCGTTCCGTGGAAAATGCCAACGGGAAAAAAGCTAAAGCCGCTGTTCTCGTGCAGCGTTCGCGTCGCGGATCGCACCAGACGGAGCACACAGATCATAAGACCCGCGGAAAGAAGATTTCCAGTAGTAGCTCTTCGAAGAAGAAGTTTGATTTCGACAATGACGAGCGTACGAAGTGGTTTTTACGGCACAACCCGATCTCGAACGGGGCGCTGAACTTACCGCCGGTGAAGGCCAGCGCCGCAATCGTGGTGCCCGTACCGGTGGGGCACACCAATATTACGGCGGCGAAGGTGCACGACGACGTCAGTTCGGTGAACATGTCCGCCCTGTCCCCTGAAGCTCGGAACCTGTTTGCGAACCCCAAGTACCCAAGACACCCGAATCGGCGGGACGGGGCGGCCTTCCTGGACACGGTAACTGCGCTGTTCCTCTGCCTACTGGGGACCATCTTCGTGCTCACCGCGCAGATGGCGATCGGCGACAAGGACTTTCGGGTGGCCGCGGTGCCGTTTTTCGTGCTGTGCTTCTTTAACCTCGTGTTTCTCGACCGGTTGGACAAGGTGGTGGAGACGCCGCTGGCCACGCTAGACCCGCCGCTCTCCGCGTCCGCGCCCGAACAGTGTCTCGAGCTCGGTGGCTACCTCCTGTTTGGTTCGGTCGTGGCGGGCGCGGACGTCTACTTGCAGTGCGAGATAGCCAGGAGGGGATTCGAGAATGGTACAACGCCGGTTATTGTTCTACCATGCTTGCATCTCGACAATCCCACAACTTGATCTACTTCCTTGGTTGCAAGATAAATGGAAAGGAATATTCGCCGTTGCAATTCTGAGGATATGAATGCGTAATAGGTGTACTATGTGGAAGATATTACTAGTGCAGCCGATCAAAGAACCTTTTTTACAGGCGCAGCGGTCGCTTTTGCGAGCTGGCTGTTTTCGTTGCTCGTGCAGCTCTGGGGCGCGCATTGGTGTTGGCTGGTTTCTTGGGGAAAGTGCAACATTTTCCTGCAGTGGCGGGCAGGACTTTTCGCTGGTTTTTGCCTGTGTGGGCTTGCCGTGTACGGGTTTCTATCCGTGGCCGGTCTGGGCTTGTACTGCATGCAAAAGCGCTACAGCAAACTGTACGAGCATGGAGATCATGACGAGGCAGATAATCTGAGCCTCGTTTCGCCGCGGCTCCCCTCCCATCGCACCACGCCGTCAGTCCGAGACGCAAACCAGATGACGCCCCGTTGGCCGGGGCACGATGAGTAACTAGGATGCTCCGATTGAGAGTGCTAATGTATGTTTGTATGATAGGTAAATGAATTCAAGGAAGAGGTTCTAGAAGGCGCACGGGTGCGTTTTCGAATAATTCGTTTCATATTTTTTTAGGCCTGAGAAAGATGGTGTGAGGCTGTTTCTCCCACTGAGAATACAGCGATTGAAGAAGCAAATGCATCAAGCGCGCACGTCATTGCATGCACTTCTAAAAAAAAGAAATTCGAGGCGAGCTGCTGGAACTACTTCGCCTGTCCTTTCGGTTCTTTTTGTGGATGCACAAGTCCACTTGCAGGTGCATTCTTCTGTTGGCTTTTTTCGTTTTTGCTTTTCAACGGATTTTCCTTTTTTCTATGCGTTTGCTGCGGTGATAGAAGAGTGATTGCCTTGATGCGACCGAGCGATTGGCCTTGCAGGGTCTCAGCGACCTTTTCTGACGGAGATAAAACATAAAAGAAGTACACGATGTGGCAAACATGTCCTCGAGTCTGCTGATGAAACAGGGGGATAAATATCCACTAGCACCCGAGGCGTCTCCGACCCACTTTTATGTTGTAAAAGACTATACAACACTCTCACTCACAAACACAAGTTTCGTGCTTGTCAGATTTTGGTAAAACGTCATTTAGAAAGTTTGTTTTGGCTCCTGCATCAACATGGGTGAGCCGGTAATCATTTTCGTTGAGCAAGTGGAGGATAAGACGTGGGTAGAAGACGAGCCGACCAGCTTTCTTTGCTGTCACTCTCAGGACGCATTGGCGCGGGAGCGCGCCGAGGAGCTCCGGTTTCAGCCGTTTGGCGACATCGACCCAGACTGTGACGACAATGTGACGGCCTTCGATAGTCCTGCCAGTGTGCACCAGAATTCGCTCCGGAAGCGGGTCTCGGCCACTAGTGTTTTTGTGCCCGACTCGCCCGGAGCTGACCACTCAAAACTCGCCAATGGTGCGGCCAGCTCCGGTTCCGGATCCGGAACGACAACAAGCGCAGTAGACCGAGCGCGAATATCCACGGGGAAAATCGAGATACCAGTGGGAGACATGGAAATAGGACCACAAAAGCGCCGCGGCCGTGTCAGTGATGTGTCGACCATCGGCGGACCGATTGTTCCAGCTCATATTTCATCTCGCGCGGAGCCGTCGACCCCTGCCGGACGTACGGGGACCACGAAGCCGGGAAGGAGTAGTCTGTCCAGTGCGACTGCTAGTAGCCACCAGTTCGTTCGCATGCGGCTCGTCGGTAGGGGCAGCGACGTCGTGGACAAGAATCAGGAGACTGCTGGACCCTATCACACCTGGGACCCACGACGGACCGGGCGCTATCTCACCTGGTACAGCGGTCGCCAGCTGCAGAAACCGAGCCGGCTCCAGAACGACGCGCCAGACAATGGCACCGCGAAGTCGAATCTGTTCGTTGAAGTCGAAGTGTGCAAGGCGGCCAAAAGGAGTGGCCGAAGCAACAACACCGCCGTTGGCGTGGGTAGAAGTGCGGCTGCCGCGGTCGTAACGGGAGCAACGTCTTCTTCCCCTGGTGAACAAGCTGTCGAGGTGCTTGCAAGTGCACGCATTGCACTCGGTGATCTGAACGCCAACTCGCAGACTTTTTCGCTCATCAGTGAGGAAAGTAGGAGAACCGCAAAGACCAGCCAGGAGGTTCTGGGCGCAGCCGCTGGACGAGCAGCCTCTTCATCGGAAGTAGGCGCACGCTCTCTTGACCAGACGCCTACGACAACCGCACTCGAGGAGGCGCCCGCGACGGTGTTCGAAAGTCTACTGTACGCGTTCTCACCGTCCCGCAAGGGCAAGTCCGAGCCGCGCGCGGGGGCCTCAGATGAGGAGTCAAAAAACTCGACGGGGACAACGATCGCCTCCACACCAGTCAGGTCCAAGCAGCCACGAGCAGAAGACGCGAAGAACGGGACCAGTGACGCAAATCATGCCGCTTCGTCCAGTAGCACCAGTGACTGCCGCGGCGCAGCAGCGGGTGAAATGGAGATTCGGCTCCGATTGGTTTCTTCTGCGAGTGTTCCGAAACGAAAAACGGTTTACCTAATCCGCCATGGCGAAAGCCTGTGGAATGAAGCGCAGGATAACGGGTTGTTTTGGCGCATGCCCAGCTTATTCGACGCGCCGCTCAGTCAAGCGGGAAAGCACCAGTGCGAGCATCTGCAAAAAATTGTCGATCGGGAATTTGGTACTAACTTACCGTCTACTCACAGATGTAACGATTGATGGAAAACCCCTTATTTGACTGAACTGATGCACCAACATAGAGGTTTTTTGAGTAGTAGACTGTGCCCGCCCCAAATTGCTCTAGTTTCCGCCGGGAGACGAAGAAATTCTTGACCTCGGCTTTGCTTTCCGCGACGAAAGAAGCTTTTTGATGTAGAAACATTCATAACTCGTCAGGTAAGGAGCAAGCCGTGGACGTGTTTTGTTCGCCGTTGACTCGTGCCATGCAGACGGCCTGGATTGGGCTCGGTGTCGAACGAATTTCACGCCTTGTGCTGCTCCCTAGCGCTCGCGAGAAAAAAAATTCCGTTGCCTCGGTCGACAGCCAAGGCATCGCGGTCGGGGAAGACGTGGTCACAGTCTTGGAAGGGGAAATGCGAGCGCTACTGACCAGCAGCGGTGAGGAGGGCAAAGCCACGACGCCGGCTGCCATGTTGCGACGAGAGGCGATGGACTTGCGGCAAGTACAGGAGCAGTGGTGGACCGACTGGAGTGAGTCTTCTGCAGATTTGGAAGCGCGGCTGCAAGATTTTGCGTTTCAACTTGCGCTGTGCAACGAATTGCTCGTGGATGATCTTGAAGATCCCGCTACGCGATGTGTGAATAAACCTCCAACTCCTGTAGCAAAGGACACAAAGCCCCCGCTGCCGCTCCTCGTCGTGGGTCACTCCCACTATTTCCGCGAACTTTTCCGCAAGTTTTTGAACCCGCTTTCAACCTCCACTGACGGCCCGGCGGCGAAGGTGCACGCCGACCTGAAAAAGCTAAAGCTTTCTAATGCGGGAATGTGTAAAGTGGATTTGGTGTACGATGCTTCTACGGGGGAAACTTCGATCGACTTCATAGAACTGTGCGGCGACACGCAGTTGGTCGGGGATGTCGGGCCTTTCGCACGCCTGGGTTGCACTGCGATTGGGGCACAGCAACAGACGCTCGACAAAACCGCGGAGATTGTCGTTTAGGCAGGAAATACGGGACGGAAAAAATTTAAATTATGAATGCAATCCCAATCGACATGATTTTTGAATAATTTTCAACGTGCTGTGCATCGTTGAATGAGGGTAGAAGATGAGTGTCCGTGCTGTTGTTCATATTGTTGTATCACACAGGTATTTCAATAAATGTTGTTTCTCTCCATTTTCGTAGAGATCAAAAATGTACGAGCATGCTTCGCGTGGACGTTGCCGCGAAGCGAGAAAATGAACCCACCACAAATGAATGTGAATCTGAGAAATGTCATTGATTGGTTTCATGGGGAATAACACAAGATGAGAAGAGAGGGGCCAAGCTGAGGCAAGGTGATTTTGCAGAAGTCGAGTGTTGATTGCCATTCTTCTCTCTTTTGGGGGGGGGGGGCTCAATGCAAATAAGGGGCACTTTTGAACAGTTTTGAATCGTGAAGTGATCATCAAATCAATTTGCATATCGGTATAATTTCATCAATCTTCTTTGTTTTGCTGTTTTTTTCTTCAAGTGTTGCAAGACTTCGGTGGCGGTTTTTTATGTGGTGTATGGTTCTTGGTGGTGTCCTCGCTCAATAAGTCATGCTCAGGAGCAGCTTCGTTTCTTCAGGTCGAAAATGTGGTCGTATGCGTTTTTTCTGCTCTTCTTTTAGATTTAGTTTTTTCGCATTCAGTGTAAAAGTCGGGATGAGTTTTGCGTTCATGACAGGGGCCCACCGAAGATTCGAGTGCCAACAAAAAAAGTAGCACAATGTTAAGGTTTTCAATCCACCCATATTGATTCCTCATCCCGTCCCATTGATTACCCCGCAGAACTATTGTCTCTCTCCACAAGAGTTTGTTAGAGATAGCCATGTTGGATAGAAAACAGTTTATGTTGATGTTACTTCGACAGCGCTCTTGCTCTATTTGGAAATGCGCAGATTACATCAATCCACAGTCGTGTAGCTGTAGCTAGCAGAGTCTCGGTGGAGTCAGAGTGCAATCGGCATTGAACAGCAAAGACACGACATAGATGACGGACTATGCGCGCGCGAAGCAGGCAGAAGCGGAGAAATCCCAAGCTCGGCTTGAGCTGTTTTTTCAACAGCAACAGGAACAGGAAGAGCAGCTACAGGCGGCACAGCAGGTGCGTCGCGGTGCCTCCCAGGAAGATCCGAATAGTCATCAGCACACCACGGCTAGCGACGCAGTCGCGACCAATGGTACTTCTTCAACAGCGAGCCCGCTGCTTCTTCCGGTTGTGGGCGGGCCACCACCAGCAATCGGAGGAGCAACTGCAAGCCATGCTTCATCAGGACCACCTCCAGTCTTGAATCCTATAGGGAGCGTGGGGTCTTTTTTGAATCCCGGCATAGGAGAAGTGGTTGCGCCGCGGGGCGGACCTTCGCCATCACTTGCAACCGGAAACAAAGCGGCTCACCAATCGTTTTCGCCGGGTTCTTTCGGGCCTCCTGCAGGTTCTTCTCGGGGCCCGCACCAAATGATAGATTTGGTTACCGGCAACAGCATGTTTGTGCAGTCCTCAGGCCCGAATAGCGGCGACAATTCCTGCACCAGCGACGACCACAACACTAGCCGGATCTCGAGTACGCCGTCCGAGGGTTATCACTGGATGAGCGTTGCCGCAGCTGCAGCCTGTGGCTCTGCTGCGCCGCAGATGATGGCTCCTCCGCAGGCAAGCAAGAAGCTACTGGTCCCCGGGGTTGCACTCCCTTCGCCTTATGCGATCTCGCCTCGAGTTCTGCCCACGGTTCTCCGGCAACACCGAGGCGGCGAATCGCCGGTGCAAGGGCTCGCGCATCATCCGGAAGTTGTGCCAGGGAATCAGTTAGCGCCTGGAGGTGAAGTAGATGAACGTATCGATCCTCATGCGCTGCCGAACGACGAGCAGCTTGCAGGCACCGGGGACGGCGCGGCGCATGATCCGTTCGTGGAGCTGGAGTTGGCGGAGCAACACGTGCCGCCCGACCACACGTTGGAGTCCGGCGAAGTAGCGCTCAACGCATCAAGAACAATCGACGCGACCTGCAGTGCAGTGCCAGTTATGCTGCAGCCAACTGCGTCCACTGGTGAAGACGTTGAACAATTTGTGGAACACGGCGCGGAAGCTGTCAGACTCAGTGAGCAGGCGTACTCTAGTACCCGTCGAGGAGAGGACGATGATGAAATCGAGTCGAACCAGCAGAACACGAACACCCCGAAGAACCTTGTTCCGCAAAATATCACAAGTTCTAGCAACGTGATTAACCACGAATGTCTACTAGAAGAGGGGGAAGCCGAGGATGACCAGGACGCACCTGCAACAGACGGGAAGACGACGTCAAGAAATTCGAGCAAGATGAAACCGCGGCAAAATACGGGCAGTTCCCGGTCAAATTCCAAAAGTGCAGAACAAGCCGCATCTATGTCGACTAGACCGAAGTTGCGAAGGAAGGCGCCCGTCGACATGGGCCGGCGCAATTACCATACCCAAGGAAAGAGGCGAGACCCGTGGGACCTGACACCCCCGCAGGATTACTTTCCAGACTGCGGCGCTGGCGCAGCGAGTCTCGGAGGATCCGGAGTAGATGATGAGGCCCAGCAGCATCTACTTCCAGACCACCCGTCGCCCATCAAACCGCGTCGCGACGATCCATCTCTTCTCCACAACACGGTAGCAACTTTGTCTCCTGATGAACAACGCGACCGAAACAAATCCAAACGCGATCCTCATTCCGAGGCTGGGGGTGTGTGGATGGCTGACGACACTGCGGATAGTATTTGCCAAGGCGGGGGCTCCTCGTCCTCCCCAAGCCGCCGCGCAGCCGGCGGGCGCGGCAATGGGGCGAATAGTGCTCCTCGACGTCCTATTCAGGAACAACCCGATGGTCTCGGAAGCACGCGCGTTGACGTGGACTCGCTCGCCCTGGGACAGAAGAAAGCAACTGGCGAGATTCCGCTACACCACTACATGGAGCACACGTATCTGATACCAAGGCTGCCAGTGCTGATGCAGGGGCCTGATGCGCAAGCGCAGAAAGCGTGGCTGAAGGCGAGTTTACGGGATAAACGGATTCGCTCCATCAACGAACGTAATTTGCTGACGAATTTCCAGGAAACCGGCCAGGCGCTGTCGCTGACGGAGCTGCGGCAGGTCAACGCCGCAAAAGTGCTTGAAGTGCTCGATTTGGTGGCTTCCGAGGTGACGCAGAAGGGCAACCTGAGCTCAGCGCAGGTGCCGTCGGCGTCCGACGCCGATTTGGTTCAGAGAACGAATGACCTGCGGCACCTAGTGCACGCGGTCGGCACCGATGTCAACAAGGGACTCCGCGCCACCGAGCTGGTTTTGACATTCGCTTTGGAGGTTTTGCCACCTCCGGCAGAAGAAGTTGCGGTTGCTGAGGGCGACTCAACAGAGGTGCTGGCACCTGCTGCGGACGGTACGACTTGTGCTGCTCCTGCTGAGGAGGTCGGTGTACTTTTAGAAGCTGGCAACCTGCCGGCCTCCGACGTGGCGGATTGCAGCAGTAGCGCAGCGCCAGGGTTTCATGAGCAAGAAGATGTCGAGCATGAGCTGCATGCTGCCGTAGAGAAAGTACACGTGAGCGAAGTTGCTGCCCCGCCAGAAACCTATGTGGCAGCTCTGGCGGATCAAGCGGTTGAGAAAGTCGAAATCTTCGACGAAGTGGCAAGTAGTGCAGCCGCCTTGGCACCATCCGAAATAAAGCACCGAGTTGGAATTTCACCGGCGGCACAGGTTCTTTGCGACGAACTTTCCGACCCTGCGAACAACGAGCGACTCACCCGTCCGGGCCCGGTGACAAATCGGCCGACGATTTTGGTGTCTACTCCCGGCGGCCCCACGGGCAGCAGCGCCGGAGCCTGGCAAGACGGGGCTGGAACGGGGAGCATCATGCGGATCGACGGGTACGATTTCGATCCGACCACGCTGATGATGCCGCCGAAAGTCGCACACCCGCAGGATATCCTGGCGTACTACCCCGACCATCATGTCGAGGATTTTGTTTCTGGAGAAGCGCATCTACCAGCGCATGCAGCGCTGGCGGTCGGCGTTGACGACCATGTCATTGACGACTCAGAGGTCCCGGACGAACACTCCGACGACCAGGCGGAGGGTCGGGAAGCAGCCCGTGCGGAGGTGTTGACGAGCCGCGGGCAAGTGCTTTCCCCGCGCGGGGGTGCGAACAAAACCTCGACGCCACCATCCCCGCTTGCAAACAAGTTTTCTGCTTCGCAAGGCCTTTTTGCCGTGCACCGGGCCTCCAAAGAGGGAAATTTAGCACAGGACCACGGGAATGGCGCTGCTCCCTCCGGATCGTCTGGCAGTCCACTTCGCAACGGAAAGGTGTTCGCCGAAGCCGTGCAGCAAAAGTACTGGGCTTCCACCCGCGACTGGGAAGAAGCCCTCCCCGGGTAAGTAGGCTTTTTTACGTAGAATTGTATTGATGTAAGAAAGAAGTCTCTAATTATGACAACTAGAGCTGCATGTGGATTCATCAGTATTTGATCTTTCATATCGTCTTTGTTTTGTCGACGTCCACGGACGTTTTTACTGGTCTCCCCCCCATAGTAATGAATTCCGTGCAGGTTTCCGCCGGAGTGCAAGTTTCGCGATAACGGAGAGCCGCGACCGCAAGCGCGCAGCCAGGTCTTCGACCAACGGCGCGAGCTCGCCACGCAGGAGTTCTATCGGCGGATGCTCGAGGGGCGTCGGCACCACCTGCTGCAGGAGCACTGCTACCACGTTTCGGGTAACGCGGTGACCGCCAAACACAAGACGGAGGCGCTTGCTGACGACCTCGTGGACCTCGGCGGCCTGAGCCCCGATCTGGGATGGAGCAGCCCCAGCAAAACCGCGGCCATAAGTCGCGTAGACAGCTTGGCTTCCGAGAAAATGAAACAAACCGTGATGAAGACCTCACCCTCGGCACGGTCCCTCGGCGGCGCTTTGATGTCTTCACCTGCGGCGGAGCAGCCTGCGGTCGGCGGTGTGGGTACTTCTGGCGGGCATGAAAAGTTCTTGCACACATCAAGTACTAGACCCAACGTGACGATTCCGGAAAGGACCTGCTCCCCCCGCACGGAAGAGCTCGCTGCGCAACTCTCTCCAGTCAACCGCCGGGCGTGTTCTCCTGCCACGTCGTTGCAAACGCGGCGATTTTTCCGGGGGGAGGGAGAAGTGTCAACTCGGAAAGTTGTAGTACCGGATTCTCATCTGGCAAGCGGCTCCACGACCTCCAGGCAAGCGCGTGACAGTGCTGCCGAGGCTGTTGTCGAATTTGAGCGCGCCAAGCCTGACCTGCGAACTCGCAGAGAGAAGCGCGCGCCGGTCGTAAGAGCTGCGGGTGGAGGTGCAGCTTCCGACCCAAAGAGCAAGGACGAAGGCGTGCGTCGCTGGGTCACGATGAAGGCGGAAGCGGTCCGCGATGTCGACACGGAGATAAAGTCCTTTCGCGAAGAGAAAATAAAAATCGGGCGCACAGTGCGGAAAGAGAAGCTTGCTCCAACGTCCACCGCGAGCAGGAGCTCCAGCAAGAGCCAGCTCCAAATCGACAGTCCGGCAGACTTTACCCCCAAAGACCGCACAGCTTCAGCGCGTTCGCGAGCGTCTGAGAGTGCCAGCAAGAATCTTGTTCCGAGCTTGAAAAGCAACAATGGTAACAGCTACAATGCAAGCAAGGAGCAGAATCTGAATCGACGCATACCAGACCGAGTTCGCCGAGTTTTCATGCGCGAGGAGGAGCAAACTGGGGCTGGTGCTGCACCACCCGCCAATACGGCGCTAAAGCCGCCAAAAATGAAGAACACCGTGCAGTTCACAGCAGGACCTCCCCGAGCTGAAGTTCGCAACGAAGCTCGAGGGCGGACGAACTTCAAGAAGATCCCCGGTGCTGCTGGTGCAGCAGTGGACTCTAGTAGTCGTCCGATGCGCTCTTCGTCGTCTTCTTCCATTGGCGCCGATCTTTCCGCGCGGGGTGGAAATAAAAATTCCACGATTCATCGGCAGAGCGACGCACTATTCCGCAGTCCGCGGGGCAGCAAAAGCAGTCCGCGGGGCTCTAGTAACCAGCAGATGACATCCGCACAAGATCTCGGACTTGCGTCCTCTGGCACCGAGGTGGGGGAGATGCTGAAGCAGTCCATCGCTTTGAAGGAACGCATCTCCGAAGTGACGCGCGCGTCCCAAGAAACCCGGCTGCGCATGCGCTCTGCGTCACCGCCGCGGAGTCCCACGAGCGCAAAAAACGAGGCAGACAAGAAGAAAGTGTGGCTCACTTTGCGGCAAATGCGAGAGCAGCTGCAAAAGCAGTACGATGCTGTCCCTTCTCCGGAGGAAGCGGTCCCGCCCAGTACGGGCCCGCAGGTGCGAGCAAGAGCCGAGGGCGAGATCGCCGTGTCCAGAGCGCTGCTATCTTCGGCATCTAGAACCTCGGCCGTCTCAACTGGGACAAGCGTTCGCAGCAGCGCTTCCACCACGACCTTGAAGGCATCATCGAGGCAACAAGCAGACCGTTCTGGAGCAGCAGTTACCGTGGCGGGTCAGCAGGAACAGGACCGGCAAAGCAAGCATAAGACGTCCAGTCGGGTTAACACAGCGGCGAAGACGCACACGAGCAGGGCATTTATGTTCGCCAGTGACGCGGGCGTCGGCAAGACCGGTGTTGACATCAATTTGCAGGAAAAGAACGCGGAACCGCAATTCGTAGTAAACGCTCACCGACCCCAGCGCCAGATTCCATCGTTTACGTACCGGAAAACGAGTCCGCGGACGCTTTTGCAAACTAGTTTGAAAAAAAACAGGGGAACATCCACTTCTCTTTGCGACGCCCAAGACGAAAAAGCTGCTTGCGACGATGTGGAGCTTTTCTACGCCGAATCGCCTGCCGGACAAGCCAATGATTTAGTGGAGCGAATGATCTCTCCGGGGGAAAAAAGTTTCCGTCTCGTCTACGATGCAGAAAAGGACTCAGACAAAAAGTCGTTAGCGGAGGCGGAGAAAAACAAGCATCGGTAATAAACGACCGTTGCTTTTGCAGTTCTTGTTCAGGGGGGTGAATTCCAGCGACAATTTAGAATCATTGAAATGGACCCCACATATCGTGGGTGTACTGTTTTCCAACCGATGTTGCCTGAGACTCTTTTCCCTAGAACCCACTTCCGAAGGAAGTCCACGCGACTTGACTTCGTGACCACCTCAAATTTATACACATTGTGATCTATGTCGTGCGAGTTCGTTGTACAGAATAGAAAGAGCATTTTCATTTTTTTTCGGCGCATGTAACCCGACTCAACCTCAAATGAAATTGAAAGTTTTATACACACATTCTCAAAATTAGATAAAGCATTCACTTTAGCATGTATGATTTCCGGTAAAGATGTCAATTTTCCGCTCGTTTAATGAATGTCAACGATGTAATTATCCAAACAAACAGAAACATCAAGTAGACACTCGTCTTCTCTAGGTCCGATTCACCAGATTTAGACAAGGACAGATTCACGAATTAAGTAGTATATCCGGGAGCCAGACGATTCGGCAAAGGGGATGTTTTGGTTCCGGGAAATTTTCGACTTCAGCATTAATTGGTGTACCACAGCAACAGAATTTGGACAACATAAAAGCAGCATGGTGATATAGATTTTTGTAGAAATAAAAAAAAAAAGAAAAACGAAATAGAAAGAATAGGCGCTCTGCTTCTCCGTTGCAGCGTCTGTCAACAAAAGCCCCGACCACTTTCCCGTGCGATGATAGGTATGTAAGGCAAACAGATGCTGCACAGAAAGTAGTGTCAGTTTCAAGATCCATTTCAGGGCGATCCTGAAATCATGTGAAGATCTTAAAGATATAAAAACTGGATCCACGACGGTTAAGATCAGTGAAGCTAATAAAGGAACGATCCCCATGAAAACAACGTTCGACGCCCGCAGGGAAAACGCAGAGGGAAAGGATCAGAAGAGGCATGCGAGATCCTTCTGCAGGTGGTTGTACCTCAATCAGAAGAAAGCTCCGATCATTGAAGACAATGTGGATGCAATTGTATTCCAGGTTCTCATCAGAGATTTAGAGGTACTGTATGTAGCTTCGGATAGCTTTTTCGAAACAAAAAGAGTACAAGCTTCCAAGCAGAGAGTGAGTAGAGTCATGACGTTCCTTCAGTTCGAGCGCGCAACTGGGTCGCACTGCGGCAAGCTTAGTTTTTCCCAGGATGTGAACGAGCACGACGACGCCCCGACAATCAAACAGCGACAGGTACTAGCAGACCACACCAAGGACGGTAAAAGCTTGACCGAGGAAAGACGCGAGCGCAGTCGTAGTCCCAGGCGACAAGAGCAGATCGTGAAGGCTGCGGCAGATGACAACGCGCATCTTCAAGCGGCTCCTGCAACAGTACAACTAGCTGCGGACCGACCTCCCAGACCCGCAGCCTCCTTTCCTCAGAGCCAGTCGTCTCGGTGTTTGACCTACACCCTGGAGGCGCAGGATGGACGAGCGCGCGCCGCGACCTTGTTGCTCCCGCACGGCCCAGTGCGCACTCCTGTTTTCATGCCCGTCGGCACGCAGGGGACCATCAAGGGGCTCCTGAGTCAGGAGGTGGCCGATTTGGGCCCACAGATCATTCTCGGAAACACCTACCACCTAGCGAACCGGCCCACCTGTGCGCGGCTGGATAAGTGCAACGGGCTCCACAATTTCATGCAGTGGGACCGAAACATCCTGACGGACAGCGGCGGGTTTCAAATGGTATCCCTGCTGAAACTCGCAAAGATCACGGAGGAAGGTGTGGAGTTCGAGGACCCGAAGAACCCGGGCAGCATGATGTTGCTCACCCCAGAGGAGAGTATCCGAAGTCAGAACAGCATCGGTTCGGATATCATGATGCAGTTGGACGATGTGGTCAGTTCCTGCGAGCCGGACAAGGCCCGGGTGGAGGAGGCCACCCACCGGACGACCCGCTGGTTGGATCGCTGCATCAAGGCACACGCAAACCCGGACCGGCAGAACCTCTTCGCCATCGTCCAGGGCGGCCTGCATGCGGACCTCCGGAAAATAAGCCTGGCGGATTTGAAGGTACTTACCACGCTCTTCAACTTCGTGTTATGTTTTATTACTATAACTGCAGCTTGCTCTTGCACGACATGCAGATACTATAGATACTGCATGAACGACACACATTCAGCTTCTCGTCGCAACAAATTCACCTTTTATGATGAGAAACCACATCTGAATACTTGCTACTTCTGACGCACGCGCTCTGCCTGCGGATGAGAAAACATTTGTTCTCACCAAGATCTCTGAGAAGGAAGGAAATTTCCTCTTCTTGTTTCTGTCAAGAGAAACAGAGGAGGCGCGTGTATGTTTACTGCTTTTCCAGCAACCCGTGCTGTTTGTGCACCTCCTCCTACCCAAGACATCATCTTCACTCCATACACACCCACAGGCGCGTGGCGACTCGTGTCCGGGGTACGCAATTGGCGGTTTATCCGGCGGCGAGAGCAAGCACGAGTTTTGGCGGGTCGTCGCACAGTGCACGGACGAGGAGGCAGACGGCCTGCCGCGGTTGAAACCGCGGTACTGCATGGGCGTGGGCTACATGTTGGACATTGTGGTCAGCGTGGCCCTCGGCGTGGACATGTTCGACTGTGTGTACCCCTGCCGGACCGCCCGGTTCGGCACCGCGCTCACCTGGAAGGGACAGCTGCGGCTGGCCAAGTGCAGCGACGCGGCGAAGCCGGAAAACAACCTGCCTATCGAGGAGGACTGCGACTGCTACACGTGTAAAACCTACAGCCGGTCGTTTCTCGCGTCCATCGTGGCCAAGAACGAGAAGGCCAACCCGGCGGGGGCGACGCTGCTGACCATCCACAACATCCGGTTTATGATGCGGTTAATGACCAGCATGCGGGAGGCGATTTTGGAGAGCCGCTTCAAAGCGTGGGTGGTGGACTTTCTACAAAACCTCTACCCGGCGACGAACAAATGCAAAAAGAGCGGTGGGAAAACGATCATCCCGCCCACCTGGGTGAAGGAGGCGTTGATCCAGGGAGCCAAGATCACGGAGCTGGAAAAGGCATTTGACTGGGAAAACGGAATTCCGTCCACCGAGGATATGCCTAAGCAATAACATGATGACCTACGTTTCCATTTCTTGTTGCTGCGTGATCACTCCATATTTTGATCGTTCCTACAATCTGCGACTTTTTTTTCCCGGAGCTGCTCAGTTTTCCAAGATTGAGCAGGATCATATGTTGTTTACTAATGATGCATCTGCGCTACCGCTTTTCCGATAATTATGAGAGCTGTCCAGGGTCGGAGTCGGACCTAGAGAGCTGCTTTCGACGAAAATGAACCGTGTTCCAATGACGTCAATGAGGTTCTTGTTGAAGAAGAAAAGATCGCCATGCTCGTTCATCTCTAGGAGGAAGTGTTGAGAAAAAATCACTCACCAGCAGAGTGGCCGCACGCGGGTAAAAAAGGACCCCCGCGAGCCTCCCGCAGCGTCGGCGCCGCCCGGTCCGGCTTCCCTACAAGCTGGAGAACACGCCCCGGGTCCTCGGCGTTTGATTCGGTCCAGCTTGCGCAATGCGGCCACACCTCGGCCATGTGGGGCTCGGGGGCGTCCGCCGCGCGGGGTCGTTCGGCAGTTGCCGGGGCGAATCTGGGGCGAGGGCGTCCCCACCTTGCCATAGACGGCGACGGCCCTTGTCCAGCACGTATGCGGGTTTGCAGTAACGTCCTGGGGGGGCCTCGCAACATCGGCGCGACTGCAGCGGTTCAGCGCCAGAGCCTTGAACCCCGCCGCGCGCCTTGTATTGGGAACAGGCTGGATGGGCCGGCCCGTGCCCCTCTACATGCCCAGCGGCGCGGGCTCCGCTTTCAACGTGCGCGGGCGCAGAATGGCCAGCCTGTTGGGCCGCCCGCCTCCTTAGGATGTCGGCGACGCCGCTCCGGGACGCGCGCGAGGAAGACCAGAAAAGCTATCAGAATGGGGGTGGGCTGATGACGCCGGGCGTGTTCTTTCATGGGATGGCGGCTAAATATGAGGCGCCACTGCACCCAAGTCGCGGCGGCTCCGCCGGGGCTTCTGTATGCCCCCACGCCAGCCCCCCCGCCGAGGCAGGGTGGCCGAGGCCTCCCGGCCACCGCCTTACCTGCTCCCCCTCCGGTGGGACCGACGCCGGGCACCACTTGCAAGCCGCGCAGCCCGGCCCTGCCCGGCCCTGCCCGGCCAACGCCCCCGCCCGCGGCCGGCCGAACAGCCTACCGCTCCGCACGCACGCGCCAGAACGACACGGGGCGTCGGCGATGGGCCGGAAGTCCGCAGGGCGCCACGCGGACTGCTCCCGGCATCGGCGTGCTCCGCGAAGTGTGGGGGCTGCGGGAGATTCGCTTTCGCTACTGGCGCGTTGGAATCGTGGCCGCAGGCCACCCCCGGAGACAGGGGAGCGAGGGCGGGCAGCGGGGCGGGTGTCGATTCTTATATGTATGTCGATGGGGGCGCGGGGGATGTTGACCTCCCTGAGAGCCTTACCGCCCTTCCGGGGGACAGCTTGGTGGAAATGGATGAGAGCACCCAAGCGCGCTCATCCCGCCCACCCTGTTCCGGCGGTGCATTGAGTTAGCAGCGGCCGCCTGCGTTGTGCTGGACTTAACCGGATGCCATTGGCAGGCTCCGCGACAGCGCCGAAACCCGCGAAGGGGCCGGGCGGGGTTTCTCGAGCCAGTCCCGGCGCCAAAGGGTAGGCCCCCGCGCCCCCGGGCTGGTAGCCGTGCTACGCTCGCCACTCTTCGGACCCTGGCGGATTTGCCCACGCTGCTGCAGCAACCGCTTCCGGCGCAGTGGCTCAAAGGTTCCGGCAGGTACGGCGCCGCCGCCGCGGAAGTAGCTAGGGGGCAAATAGCGCGGGGCGTGGCGGACGAAGCGGCCCGGCGATGGGCTTCGCGCGGCTGTTGTGGCGCTTCTGGACTGCGATACCGTTCCAAGGTTCCGGCGCTTCAGGCGGCGCACATCTGCCGGACGCGAAGGCCGGGGCGGTGGTAGCCTGCTGCCGTGCGCGCAAGGGCCCCAGGCTTATCGGGGGCTGCCGGCCTGTGTCTGCGTGCCAATTAATAAGCCGGCGCACTCATTAGGCGGGGCTGCGGGCCTTGCAGAGCTACCGGGCCCAGCAGCCGCAGCGTCGAAGACAGGGCTAGAAGAAGCAGTGGCAGCGCGCTCGCTGCTGGTGCTCCGCAGTCAGTCCCTGCTGTAGAGGCGCGCTGCAATGATCATGCCGCAGGGCAGCAGCTGCAATTGCATGGAGTGCGATCTTCGCGACGCTTGCATTGTATGAAATTTCCCGACTCAAACAACATCCACCCCTTCGGTTTGAAACTATGTTGAGACGGATCTGCGCTTTTATGTTCAATTTTTGGTTTTGTTCAGATCTGCGACAACAATTTCTTTACTTTTGATTTGTTACTTCAACTTGATCCAGCAGTAACACTCTAATACCGATTTTATTCGACAGCGACCAAGGCGGTGTACCGTTACCGAAACACTCTAAAGCCATCTATCGCGCAACGAGTGTAGAGCTTAAGCTTTCATCGACTTTAGTATTGTGTACGATTTACTTTCTACGTCAGTCCCCCCCTAAAGGCCGTTTAGGTTTCACCCGCATCGCTACCCTCCACTCCAGAAACTATGCGCTACGCGACCGGGCTTTTGTGATTGATATCGTGGCGGTGTTTTTCAATCGTGAAGTAAGCGGAAACCCCCAGCACGTCAGAGAAACACTAAGCGCGCTTTCGTCGGTCATTTAACGGCAAGCATGGCGGATCACTACAAGCGAAGCCGATGGGGCGCCGAGCCCAACGATCCGGCTGCGAAGCGAAGTCGGTGGGGAGTGGAGCCGTCCATGCCTCCTCCTGCATCCCAGGCGGGAGGGGCAGCACAAGCCGCCCTTGCAGCCATGGCGGCCATGAAGCAAAAGCAGAATCTCCACGACAAGATTAAGGAAATGAAGTACTTTTTCATGATCTTTGTTTTGTATCGAGTTTCATGTTTGTTCTTTTTGTTTGTGTGAAGAGGTGCTGCAGGGAACAAACCCAAAAAAAATTGATGAAAACTTTATCAGGGACAAAAACGCAATGAATTACGGCATGGGAGCGGCTCCGAAGCTGATTATTGATAACATGGGGCGGGAGCTCGACGAGGACGGGAAGGTTATTCCCATGCGGGCACCGCAAGTCGCCACCCTGAAAGTGAACCAACGGAGTCGGCCAGGCTACAACCAGGGCTCTGTGAGCTCATCCTCCACGGCTGACTTCCCGAGTCGGCAGCTTGCGGCAATGAACAGCGGCATTGCGTCGAGTATGACCGGGATCGGGGGAGCTAGCGGAATTGCCAGCTACGCGAGCGGCATCTCCAGCTTCGCGGGTGGCATCTCCAGCTACGCCGGTTCCATAGCAGGGCCAGACACGAAGGCACCGGTCATGGCTGTCAACAAGCAGGTATCTATTATGCTGTGCGTCGAGTGACTATCATTTCAATAAATTTTATCCGGGCGACCACCCGAATCGGGATGATGTGCTTATACACGCTCCCGTTTTATTCGTGCTGAAGGGAGGTAGCGTTCACTATTTAGTCGCATAACGGAACCTCTTACAGCATTAACGTTATCACACGACAGGGCCAATCTGTGCTACACTCCGCGAAGCACTTCGATCCTAAAGTGCGGCTCCGTGGTGCAGGGCTGCGCGACAAGCGAAGAATGATGGGGTTCAGTTTTGTACAGGACGATAAGTACATTGCCCAGCAAGAAGAGAAGGATAAGGAGGAAGCGCAGAAGGCAGCAGCGAAGGCCTTGGAAGAGAAAAACAAAAAGACCGAGGTACTTATGATGATTTTTGATTTCCGCTCGTCGAACTTCTTGTTAATTTGCTAGACCTTACGTTTTCCTTGACAAAAGCTGTGCGATTGCCGCTATCGCTTCTCAGTGATCCCTTTACAAACGAATACCCAGGCTGGCGATGGTACTGGTGCAAAGACGGGGGCTCAATTGATAGCAATGAGCACAAAAGCCGCGCGCGCGCCGCCAGCTCCCGTCCCCGAGCACGTTGAATGGTGGGACGCACTGTTGCTGAAAAAGAGCGACAAAGCCCCGGCGTATGATCTAGACATGATCGACGAGAGGCGGGTCACAAATTACGTGGAGCACCCAGTTCCCATTAAACCGCAGACAATTTCTCTGCAGAAAGAGATGACTGTGAAGCCCCTTGAAAGCATGCTCACACCCGCGGAGAGGAAGAAACTGCGCCGGAGAAACCGCCAGGAGCGCGCCCAGCAAATGCGAGACAAAATCATGATGGGTGTCATTGAAGCACCGCCACCAAAGGTACAAGAGTTTGCAATTCTAGGTCTGTATAATTCGAGACCAGGAAGAGGCGAGATGTGCGTTCTTTCCTACCGTAGTTCTTATTGAATGAAAACATAGACATACAAAGCGAAAACGTACGATCTGAACAAGCACTCTACCTTTCGACTTATACATTGCAGGTGAAATTTTCTAACCTGATGCGTGTGTTGGGTGATGAGCAGATCGCGAATCCGACCGCGATCGAGCAGAAGGTGAAGCGCGAGACCGAACAGAGGCGGCTCGACCACGAGAGGCGGAACGAGGCCGCGAAGCTGGATCCGGAGGCCCGGAAGAAAAAGAAGCAGCAGCGCTGGGACGGCAACACCATCGGGGGCCCCGCCCCGAAGACCGACGGTCGGTCGTCGGTCAACGAAACGCACGTGCTTGCGTTCTCGATCAAGGACATGAAGCACGGCAAGCACCAGTTTAAGGTCACCGTAAACGCGGAGCAGTTCCAGCTGTCCGGGGTCCTCATCATGTGCACGGGCCTCGCAAATTTGTTGATCGTAGAAGGTGGCAAGCGGGCGATAACAAAGTACCGGAAATTGATCATGCGCCGTATCAAGTGGGACGAGACCGCCGCAGGCGGTGAAGACGAGGATGACGACGACGAAGATAGCGACGGCGGCGGAGGGCCGGCGAAAAAGGACGATCCAGCGACGCTAATGTGGCAAGGTAAGGGGTGACCGCTTGTTTGCATCAGACTCGTTTTCCATAATATACTTATTCCTTGTCAAGTTTTTTTGTTTGTAAGGCTCGTTCGAAGTTTTGCGTGCCTTGCATTTTTGCATGAACCATGGATGCGCTCAGTTTAACTAGTTCGGTCGATATGTTGATTCCTAGATGGGTATAATTTGATTTCTTTCTTCTACAGGTACGATCCAGAAGCGGCTTTTCGACGGTTTCAAGGCGCATACGATTAAGACCGAGGCAGAAGGGCGGCAGATATTGGCTTCTCGAGGGTGCGAGTCCTACTGGACCATGTTGGAATCGTACCGCGACGCAAATCAGGATCTCTGATTCATTGACGCAATATCGATCACGACAAGTATCTCTGTATCACAACAAAGCGACGACAAAAATGGAAAGAAAAGGTTTCGAAAGGAAGCGACTGTCAAAGCTTCTTCCAAGAGGCTCTTTACCGGTACAAAGACTCTGGTGTGTTTCGCAAGACATGAAGAAGGCGCGAAGCATGATACCAAAATTCATCGATCTGGTTCTGCAAAGTAAGTAAGTTCACAGCAAAAAGAAATTCTAGAGAAGACGCTGAGATGTTGCGACACTGCACTTCGAGAAAATGACAAGCAAAGCGAGCAACGCAACATTGCAACCGGGTCTATAATTATGGAGAGAAAAAAGTTTGTCACAATCACTAATTTGCAGGTTATGCATTACAAATTTTCTCAGCATCACAAACTTTCCTTGTATTGCAGAAACACTAGGGAAATCCCTAATGAGGTTTGGCTGTGATGCATTTTTACGCATGACAAACAATTTTGTATTGCAAGAATGCGCATGAGTGATCGTGACGAACTTTTTTTCTTTGATAATAATTCATGGCTCTCGAAGTGTGCATGGTCGTCGATCAAAAACAAAGCCGCTAGCGTCCCTCTTCCCTTCCTTCTCATTGTAAGATTTCTGCCAGTAGGCAACTACCCTTCCAGAATCAAAAGTATTCTTTGTAGGAGGTATTAGTATGAACAAGAACAATCGACTAAAGCTGCCCAGCAAATGGTTTGTTGTAAGTTGCGTAGTGTAGAAGTAGATATGGACGCGAGGAGGTGTAGACCTAGACTGCCCACGCACCACCTCCAGTAGAAACTTTAGAAATTCTTTTTCTTTCTTGAGCAGAACACGCCCACCATGAAATTTTCAATGTCGTTTTCGAAGCCCGGCGCAGGCGCTACGGGTCCGGCGAAGGCGAAGCCTGGCGCCTTCGGGGTCAGTGTCTTGTCGCAGCAGCAAGGTCTGGCGAAAGCGAAGGCGCCCGCCGTGGTTCCCAAGATGTTTCAGGAGGCGATCGACGCGCAGGAGAACCTCGAAGCGGAGCGAATCAAGCAGGGTTACCACCCCACCATTATCGCGCACAGTGCGGTAGCCGCCGTTTCGTCCTCCTCAACATCAACGACGGTAACTACCTCCACGAAAAGTAGCACTGCAGCTGCGCACATTCCTGGCGTGTCGAAGAACTTGCAGAAGCAGATGGATGCCATGATTGCGGCGGACGCGAGTGTGTTCCAGTACGACGAACACCTAGACGACGCGGAGATGGAGAAGAAGTACCACAACATGCAGACCACGGACGCGCTGGAGCAGGTAAAGCGCACTGGGTTGACGGTCATGAATAAGAAGTACCACGAGGAGCTCGCGCAAAAGAAGAGCCAGTACGTGGAGGGGATGCGCGAGACGAAGGACCGGCGCGACGTCGAAAAGGCCATTTTGGAGCAGCGGGCAATCAACCGCACCCTGGACGCGGAGGAAAAGAAGCCCGAGGCGTTCGTCACCGGCGCCTACGCACGGGAACTCGAGAAGCGGAAAAAGTTTGAAGCACAACTCCTCGAACAGGACCAAGCCGACGAGGCCGCTTTTGCGAAAAACGCAAAGGCCGCGTGGGGATTCTCCGGTGAGTTGCACCAACGGCTGCTCAACGAGCGAAGAGGCGAGGGTGCGGGAGGTGCTGAGGAGCAGACCAAGAAAGCCTTTGGAGATCAGAAAACAACGGCACCGGGGGAAGAACCTGCTAAACCACCAGCGGCCGGCGTGGCGGTAGGCCCCGCGCGTCCGCCTGGTATGGCCGCGGCGCCAGCGAAAGCAGCAGACAATATGAGCGCTTTAGGGCCGCAAAGGCCTCCGGGATTGACAGCCGGACCGCAGAAGGCGACAGACAAAATGTCAACTATGGGCGCAGCGAAGCCAGACGATCCAGCAGCGGAAACGACCACTTCGACCACGAAGCGCGACGCTGAAAAGGATGTTGAAGGCAGCGGGGACACGGCTAAACGCCCCAAGCTCGAGATGCAGAGTGCAGAAGCAAGTCTCGCACAGAAACAGCAGGAAGCCGAGGAAAAGCGCGTGCGCGCAGAGGCGGCCGCGGCGGTGGAAAAGGAGAAAGAAGCCGAGCGCCAGGCACAGCAGCAAGCTGAAAAGGTCGAGCGAAACCAGCGGGCACTCAGTGCAAAGGAGCGCTACTTGGCGCGCAAGAACAAACAGTAGTTGTGTGTGTGAAGTGACTTTTCAGTGTCCTCACATATGTACACAGTATGCGAAATTTCTATATACTATCAAGCGACTTTGAACGTACTACAGATTTTACACGGGGCTGATCGCAAGCAATCGTTTTTTTTTTTTTTCGTGTCGCAAGCAAGTGTTCTGAGCAAGTTCTCTTGCAGGATCCGCAAATGCAACTCCTTTTTTTTTTCCTTGTGTGTGACCACCGGTTGGATCTTGATCTTCTTTTCGAACAGAACGGAAAGAGACTGTGACGATCATTGGTGAAGCATTGATTGCGCTCGGGTCTGCAACTGCATGATCCAGCCTTATGTATGCTTTTGGAATTGTAAGTAAGACCAACGCAGTCGTAAGCTTGTAAGTCAGGTAGTTGTAGCTGCAGTACTTCATCATTGTGAGGAGCGTGGTTGTCCCTGTTGTTTTTTTCTTTGTGTTGCATGGGATAGATCGTACTGTCTTGAGATGGTTCGTGTGAGTCTGCTTTTGTATGGTACAGAAGATGAAGCACAGTACCAGTAGGGCCTTCTTGCGGATTCGCTATCAGAGCCGACTGCTTAAAAAGAACTGGTACTGGGAATGCTTACAATCTGATCACCATGAGTAGTTTCCGTCTGGTGAGCGAGAAGCTTGCTGCCGACGTCCGCTGCGTGGCGTGGAACCCCGTGCAGGACCTCCTGGCTGTCGTGGATGGGGATGTGCTGGCGGTCTTGCGTCCCCTGGCAGAAGACGAGAATGATTTGGTGTTTGCGGCCGCGGTTTCCCCCGCGGAAACGCTTCCTGCTGAAAACTCCGAAGATGCAGGAGAAAAAGTCGGAAAAGTTTTTCACACAAGTAGCTCCAGTTGTTCTGGCAGCTCATCTTCTAGCAGCTCATCTTCTTCTTCTTCTTCGAGTGCGGCCGCTAGATCTACTGCAACGCATGCGCCTGCGTCGCGGACCGTGGCCGCGTGGTCGCCTTGCGGGCGGTTTCTCGCAGTAGGTCGGCGATCTGTCATCACGGTCTTCGACATCGCTACCGAGCGCATGTTCTTCAAGTTCACGAACGTGTTCGAAAAAGGTACGAAAAAACAAGGCAAAAACTCAAGCGCAGGAAATAACTCCAGCGACGACACTCTAGCTGCATTATGTTGGCATCGACCAGGAGGGGGAAGCGACACTCGACACGGTAGTTGCACTTCGCACGTGAATGATCACATCAATACAGGCCAAGATTTTAGTACCGGTCCGGAATCTGCTTCTGCATCCAGTTGTGAAAGCCGAACCAAAATCTTGCATTCACTGTTTCGCCGTTTGGGAGCTTCCTCAACGCCGGAGGGCTGGTGTCCCCTGCTGGAGAGCCAAGGCATCAGTGCTTCTCTAACATCGCCAATGTTCCAGGATGAGCTGGGGAAGGTCCTTCTGTCGAACGGTGCGCACCCGGAGAGCCTCTTGTCATCTACCTCAGTGCAGGATGAATCTTCCGCAGGAGTCCGAAATCATGGCAACGGAGCGATCGGACTCTCTGGTAGCTACTTGGCTCAACTCTCCACACTGCCTCCGATTTTCGCGGTGCCCCAACAAGTTGGAGCGACATCACAACCGCTGACCGTGCATCCAGAATGCGTGCTACCGGACGAGTTACCGCCCCTAGATATCCTGTTTGTCACTTCGGCGACGGGGAAAATTGCCGGCTTTGTGCTAAACGAGCATGTCGCGTCGATATGCTCGCTTGCCGCAGGCGCAGGGCCGGATGCAGCCGCGCCCTCTCCCCTAAGTCCCACTGTGGATAGTGGTATGCGCTTTCATGGTTCGGAAAACGCTGCGGCTTTGCTGTGCGTACTTGAGCTGAGCTGCAAATCGTCTTCAAACCCGACCTCTAGCGTTGGTTTTCAAGACGACGAAATCTCCGCGGCCAGCACGACGATGTACTGCAACGGAAAGTTTATCACGATCGAAAGGCCATCAAGGCCATCCACCGCTGGACCTTCCGACACCAGGTTGTTGGATCTTCGGAAAGTGCTAGCGCCTCCTGCGCGTCGGGCGATCATTTTGCGCAACATCGTTTGTCGTCAACATTGCTGTGGTGTGCTCACCGCCATGCGAACCTTCTGCGAGCAAATGCTGCGGCACTTTTCTGGCGCGCGCAAAACGCTTGAGTCCAAACTCGCGTCCTCGGTTGATGAGCACCTGCGGGCCCACTTCGGCGGCGACGAGGACGAGGACCGAGAATCTCCAGACGGGACTGAAAGTAGCGAGGCGACCCGCGAGGAGAACTTGTTGCATGCGATGTACACCGGTCGGGTTTCTGACATCTACCTGCCCAACCTCCATCGGATGGAAAAGCAGATGCTGAACGCAATCGAATACGTGCAAACGCTGCTCGTATCAACTGTAAAAATGTCTGGGTCTGGAAGGATGCGAACTTGTGATGCGCATTTCACAACACAGACAAATCTCTCATGCATAGGCAGCAAAAGGCGCCCATTACCTTTCACGAAAATGGGGGATTTGTCATGCGGATTAAGCAAAGCGGAAGCTTCTCGAAACCTATGGTGCTAGGGCTTCCATGACAGACATTTTGTGTCATGCAAAAGCAGCATGACAAAAATCTGCATTCTTCCAGACCCAGACACTTTTACATTTGATAGCTCGCTACACGCATGGAGCCCGCCGCACGCCATCTGTTGCTAGCGTCCCGTGGCGTTGCGGAGGTGGCAATTTCGTCTTCCAATTGTCAGCTTGGAGAGGAACAATCCGAGGAAAAAGGCACGGCGGCACAGAAAGCGCACTTGCTTGCCGAGACATGTGAGGCCCTCGGCATTTCCCTCTACCGGTGCCAAATCTACGTGTTGAGCTTGTTCTACGTGCTGCGGAAAATCACTGGCGAGTCACCTCCCCCAGTGTGCGCCCCGGTAGCGCATGTCGAGGCAGTCATGCTGAATAAGGATTTCGCCCAGTCCCTTGACGTCGTCACAGCACTATTGTCCTCAGAGGCACCCACGAGAGAGCTGTCTGGAGCACGCGACGCGAGCGCAGTGCGGGTATCGCGGATTCGCGATCCGGCCTTCACGACTAGTACTTGTTGGAGGGGGGAGCAAGCGAATCACGTGTCGCAGTCCAGTAAGATGAGCGGCAGTGAGAAAGTCATCGAGGTTAGCACCTTCTGGAGTTTGCTGGAAGAGTTCGAAGAGTGTCTTACAGAAACTGCCTCCAGCGTATGCGCAGCGCATTCCGTGGAGGTAGAGGAGGTTGCGCTACGGATCGCCAGCAACAGGATTCACGATTCATCGGGCGCCTGTACAAGCACCACGACTGGTCGTGTTGTTGACAGTGCCTGGGCAGAAGATGGGAATGCCTTTGTGCAGGTCTTGATGTCTGAAGATCGAGTCCGACTTGGTGCTGCGGAAATCCAGCCTTGCCACGGCTGCGACGGCAAGATTCCAGGCTATCAAGGAGGATCTTTGTCCGGTGAAATGCCACCAAGGAAGCGGGATCGGTGGAAGCGAGTAATGTTTAAAAACAAGACGTCCGCGCCCCGGTTCGTCGCCGCGAAGTTTTACTCCTCGAAGCAGCTGCTGGTCTTGTACAGTACTGCTGAGACGTCGACGTGTGTAGCGGTCCTGATTCCCTTGGAACAATTGGAATTAGCTGGCGCACAAGACTGCTGCGCACCCGGCACACATCGCGTTATCGGTGGAAAAGTGCAGCCAATTATGATGGAGGACGACAGGCCTAATGCTGCCAGCAATACTGAATCCTACTACCTCGACGAGGAGATGCAAAAAAATCCTGAGGAAACTGGGCTTCGCTGCCGCATATTGCCGCCGGAGTACAACGATCGGTCTGGCAGTAAAAATCTCGAAGTGACGCTGTCTTTCGCTCGTGGCGTTTGTACTCTATACGACCGGGGATCCAAGAGAATCTTAACATTGGATCTCGAAGACGACGAAGAAGATTATTGCGTTGAGGATGTTGATGATGAGGATCGTATGGATGAGGGATAATGAAATTACATTGCGCAACAAGAACGAACAGGACGGTGAAATCACAACGCAGCTCATGCTTGGTTTTTACCCTTTGACATTCACAGAACTAAGTGTGCGCAGAGAAACTTCGATCTGAAGAGTTGTAGCGGTCCGACATGTCGCTGCGTTGCTCTGGTGCCCGTCACAGAATCCCTCGCCCGTGAGTTTTGTATAGCAAAGCAATATCTTCAAATCGTAAGTCGTGATTCGCCACTTTGTCGTGTGGGTGTCGTAGTTTCGATTTCGCGGTCGTCATCCAGAAGGCCTTGCTTCTGCAAAATTGTTCTCGATGATGTGAAGAATCGAATGCATCTCCACCGGGCTGGTGATTCCAGAGTATATGTTTTGTCCTCAAGGACGAGATCGAACTAGAGTCAGTGTGTCAATCAAAGGCAGAGAGATTGATAGTTTTACAGAACTACCGCCTGCATACGACTCCGATGTAATGGGAACGAAGTGAGCCAGCATCTCAGACTCGACATACTAGCGCTTGGATGCGAAGCGAAAATGATGTTGCGCTCCTTGGATTTTAATCAGCACTACGAAAGTGCTGTCTCGAATGCCGTGGAGGCACAGTTTGATGCCTTACAACTTCCAAGCAGCTGCAGCCAAAAATTTTTGCAGAGAAGAAGTGAGATCCCCTCGGCGCCTGCATGGACAATACGACTGCGTCATGGTACCACGACGAGTTTCGCAGCCGTCAAGACACCGATCTACGACTTTTTGTATAAGGTTAAAGGTAACTTCAACGGACCAGCGGGAGACCATACGCCTCCGGAGGACATTCTGACACAAAGGGGGAAGGACGACAGCGAGACGATCGACAAAGAGTGGGCGCGGGTCCATTGGTGCGAAGATAAGATAAAGGAGCTCGAGTGCGCGAAACACCAGCACCACGTAGACGATCTGCACAAAAAGTTGGAGGAGGATTCCGCAGGGGATAATCCGGACTTGTGGTCGACGGTCGACACTCCACATTTAAAGGATCTCGGAAAGGATCTCGGCTCGGAGGCTCCTTTTATCAAGCAATGCGGTCCATTTCTCCACTGTGCGTCAGAGAAGATGAAAGGTAAAGTGTGTGCAGTGCAGTTTTGCTTCTTAGCGTACGCAGATGATTGACCTATAGACATTCTGAGTCGCAGGAGGTTGTTGATTGTATGCGCTCGCTCGCCTCGGCCTCGCCTCGCAGGAGGTCGTTGATAAACCAGCTCGCTACGTAAGGGCGCAAAACTACAACAGCTAGCATTCCTGACAAGCCAACGGGTAACGACGAGAAGCCCGACAACTTTTTTTTCGAGAACATCCACGTAGGCTGGCCCGCTGAAATGCCGGTTCCCGTCCGCGGTAGGATTGATTTCAGGAACAACGAAGTGGTAGCAGCGCTCGGTGATACCAAACTACCCCCGCCGCCACCACCGCCAGAGCCGTTTGTGATCAACAAGACGCCGCATCATTGGATAGTCAAGAAAACAAAGAAAAAGCCCACCTTCGACTGGGGGCGGTTTCAGTTCTGGGACGAATGATGACTACTTCTTTACGTTTTTTTGTGGTGAATAGTCTTGTCCCCGGCCTCCGCTCCCGCACCCGCTCCGCGTGAGGTTCGTTGAATATAGTTCTGAAATACAAAAGCACACAGCGACGTTCCCAAGTTTCATAGCGAAAAAATGTTGAGTAATTTGATTTTGAAAATGGTGATGCTGGTGGACGACATGCTCCGGTTCTTTTTTATTTGTTCCGCTGTGGGTACCGACGTAAGGCTCGTGCCAGACATGCGTAATTCGAAGGTCAAATAGTCGCAATCATCTGAAGGAGGCGATCGGTAGCATTGAACTGCCAGTGCAAGAAGACCGGTGTGGCTCGTCGCAATATTCCACAACGCCTCCAAATCTCGCTTTCACAAGATGTTGGTTTTCGCTGTCATCAAGTCGTTACTTCTTCTCCTGGTTCGTTTTTTTTTTCTCAGCACCAGCGCAAGTGATAAAGCGCGAGCCCAGAGTGATCGCGACGCGCTTGTGCCGGACCAGTTTGAGGCGGTGAGCCGGTTTCCGACGGACTACCCCGGGGAGCTGATCGAAACCGAGACCGGGCGCGACGAGCACACCGGTAAGTTTTCCGAGGAGAAGGTGAGGAACGCGTGCGAGCGCGGGGGTATTCAGAATGGGGACATGTTTATGACGTACCAGCACATCAAGAAGCACTACGACGACTTCTACAACTCGGGCGCCGAGCTGTACGTGGGCGGGCTGAGCGGGACGCTGATGCAGTTTCGGCAGGTGATCGTGGACGTGTGCCCCTTGATCGCGTTGCAGACCCTCGTGCTGGAGCTGGAAAACACCATGGCGGTCACGTACACCGACGCGTACAGCGAGATCGCAGTGCAGCAGAAACGGCTGAAGAAGTCGGCGGAGATCGTCGCGGAGTTCACCGCGCTGTACCACGAGCTGTCTAGCGACGTCACGTACGACGGGTTACTCCGGCTCGTCGAGGGCTGGAACATCGTGTCCGGGTGGGAGCGGGCGGACAAGTACCGGCAGTGGTTCGCAGAGGACATACAGGCGGGGAAGGACGCGTACGCGGACCATCTGGGAACGGACGTGGACAAGCAAAAGGGGCTGAGCGATGAGGATTTCACGGCCTACTATCACAGCAGTTTCAAGGAGATCGCGGACATTTTCACGAACGAAATGAAGCTCGATTGGTTTCCCATCCGCGGCACGCTCATCGCGTTGATGCGGTACGGCGCCGCGGGCGCGCGGGAACTGAGAAATCACCCAGATTTCCTGGAAAACGACATTGATTTATCGACAGAAAAAAATGATTCGCGATATTATGCTGTGCGGCTCGCAGTAGATGTGGGGCCGGCGTGATCGTCTGTTGCATGTGATGTTGAACTGGACTAGCTCTAGTAGTCGTCCAGAAAGAATCAGATTGTGGCCGTCCTCACAGCATGATTTTTCCAAGCAATGTGGAATTGTGATCGGCGTGAAAGACGAACAGGAGTGGAGCTACTTGCAAAAAACACTGACTCTCGTTTTGGAGAAGTGGTCCCCGGATGTCAAGTGCTTCGTGAAAACAACGGTGCAGCCTCATGAGGGTGTCCAGGCCGCGCAGGAGGTACACGACTTTTACCACAAAGGGAAGACCAACGCGGAGATCGAGGCGGCTGGCGGTCACCGGGAAATGACAGAGGATGATAGAATTAAGCCACTCCCCGTGGAGTACTTTCGAAAGGATCTGCTGTACTGCATCCGAAAGCAACCCGCGACGCTGCTGATAGACATCAACAGCTACATTCGAGACACGGATCGCAACATCGCGTACGGACACCGTACCTTCCGAAGTCGCGCCGCCCAGGTGGGCGACTGGAGCGACATTCAGGTCGACGTGAAGACCATGATCTTCGGGGACGAGAACCGGCAGGCGCTGGACTTGGGCGAGGGGCAGAAGGGCGGGATGATGCCGCTGGGGAACGTGCACGACTTTTCGAAGATCACCGACCGCGAGGATTTCGTGATCCACCCTTGGATGGGCGCGTTTCGCAACACCGGCACGGACTATTTGGAGTTGCAGGAGTTGCAAACAGGCAACGAACAGCCCTGCCGCGTGCACGATTTCGCGGTACCTTGCCCGCGGAACCCGGGTCGCACACTGGCGGCCATGCTCATTGAGGACGGCGCGGAACGGTCCTGCTTCGCGCTTCCCGGCCCGGAACGGCTAGCGAACTGGACGGCGGCAGACTGGGGCCGCTTCGTCGATTATCAGGACGAGCTGCGGGAACAAAATTTTCAGCATATGGGGCCCTATTTGTGGACTTTGGAGGCCTGTCGGGGCCAGATAGAACACTTCCTGCTTGTTGAAAAAGAGGAGGACAAAGTGGCCGTCCTTGAGAGAATACGAACGAACCACGAACGCTTTTACCGCGGGTTTCGCGAAGTAAAAAGATAGAAACCTATATAGGTCGATCTACTTACGTAGACGGCTTCGATTGATTCCCTTGCTTGACGCCAGTGCATCACGGAGTTCCACAGGAAGGCGCTGCAGTGTTGCTTTTGCTTTTCTATTTTTTTCTGTCACCTGCACTCTCGCGTGTCGCCGTTCCAACGAGGCTATAGAGTCGATCCGGGAGTACCAAACCATGTAAGTAATTTTAATTCTAGCGATGGAAAATAACGTGGGTGGCGAGTCAATGTGGTTCGCGGTGTGGAGCAGAGAAAGTAAGGTTATGGCGAGCAGAAACAAGTAAGCATGTGAGCAATCGTGTCTGAGAAAGGCGGTTGCTCTGCGTACGAAGATCCTACTCCTGACAAAGCACCTGTAGATGAGGACTAGTAACGAGTGAACCGGCGTGGCGCTCCTGCACATAAATATACAAAAGAAATGGCGGCGGTAGAGCAGCCGGAGGAGGAGATTGATGTCGTCGGCGTTGATATTTCGCCGAACGATTGCGCTTTGGAGGACCCACTCACCATTCGCCTGCGTTTTACACACCCATTCGCCATACCAAACGCAAGATGGCGCATACGCTTCTCCGTGGATACTGCGAAGAAGACAAAAATAGTACGCATACAACATTCCTTTGTTCCGGTTGATCGCTATCAAATTTTTTTGTTTCTCCCATGCTGCATTGCTTATTTGTTTTGTTCTCGCCGCTCTCAAGGATGTATTTCCCTCACTACATAAGATACAAACGCATGCGCTGACGCTGTATTTTCTTTTCCTTTTGTAAAAACGAAATCAAAAACAAGAAAAAGCACTGGCTCAGCACAAAAGCAAACCACTACCATTTTAGGTCGAATTCGGCGAGACGGAGCAGGTCGCTGAATATCCAGCAACGGTGTCCCCAGACAGCGCTAACGAGGTTGTGTGGCACATCGAAAACCTAGAGATGCCAGAAAAACTCGCGAAGGATGTGCTGAAAAACGTCGGACTGCTCGTCTTTTCTCTCATGCGGGACGACGATTCGCTGCTGGACGTAAATTTCGTCACGCAAGTTAGTACGGATCCGGCTACGGGGGGTCTCATACGAAACATTCTCAGTCCTATATGAACAGTGGGGGCTACGTACTCTGCGCTGATACCGTAACGGAGCAGGGTGCTGGTGTCTATATGGAAATGTATAGTAAAAGTAAATGAAGATGAACTACACAACGATGTAGATGAACGGCTTCTGAATGTTTCGGTTTCTTTCTAGTTTCGAACTTGCCACTGCCACGGTGTGCGTGAAATACCCTAGACGACATGCATCGGCAAGTAGCATTTTCTGTTCACCGTTTTTTCGGTAATGGTAATCCTCCTTCAACAAATACAAATGACAAGCATGGAGAAAGAGCATGCCGAAATATGAATGACATAGATACGCAGACAAAAGTTGAAGCCGTGGCCCGTGGTGTGTTCACTGCTTTCTTAGCGTCTTAAGAAGGCAATCGTTGATAGCAGGAACCAGATCCAGATGACGAGGTCAACATACTGATAATCACGTTCGTTTCGTGCCAAACTCATGCTCAGTTCGAAGATCGTATTCGTGATTCCTGATGGTGGTACGGATGGGCGATCAGCGCGTTCCAACAGGCACCTGTCGTACGAAGGCGACCGAGTCATGAAAGTCTGTGCACGCTGCCTGCTCGCTGGTTAAAGTATTGAGTTAGTATGAAGGACAACTTGTTTTCTTGACATCAATCCGAGGCTGTTTGTGCACTCAGCTGGAGTAATCGTGATAAAAAAGACAAGATGTCTGTGATGCTTGTGATCGTGGCTAAGTTGCGTCGCCAACGACATGTCTTAGGCAAACACCAAAAGCAATCATGATTTGTTGAAATCATTCTTCTGGTTCTGGTGTATAGTGAGTTCTAGTGGAAGAGTATTCCTTCAGCGTGACATCCATAGGTTTTTCAATGGACAGTTCAATAATTGTAGGTCTTATTTTCCCTTGAGTCGCCGGGCGGGGCCTTCGCGCCTTGATTCGGCATATTCGAAACACCATCGCACCAGTTTTTGCACTGAGTTCAGGCAAATCCACCTCGAAGCGACTTACTCTTTGCTCCTGTTTGTCTTTCGCATTGCCTTTGGTAAGTATCACTAAGTATCAACCACAATGCCGTTTGCGTGCGTAATCGAGGCCCAGCACCTGGCCATGGTGCTTAAAGGTTTGGAGGGGTTGAGTAACACCGTAGTAATTACGGTAAAGGAGGAAGAAGGGATGTTCGGGCACGCACAAGACGATGCCTTGGTAGCACTCTGCGACTGGAAAATCAGCTTTGACGGCTTCTCTCACTTCGAGTTCTTTCGCACGGCAAAAACCTGGTAAGTATGTTGTGTCGGGATGGTCACCAGGCTCTGTTTTTACTTATTTGTAATTGTTCCCGTGCTTCTGCATAGCAAAGGCAAACCAATCGCACTGTGGCAGGATTACTGCTGCGAGACGGCGCTTGCTTCTTTTTGTGAGTCGATGAACATGAATCGCGAAAGACCAAATCAATCTACATCAGTATCTCATGGAAGCTGGACGTTCGGTGGCTGCTGAAAATGATTGCTGGTGCGGAGGCAGGCAACCACATAGAAATCTACAGTAACGATAATCCGACATTTCTCGGATTATCCTACATCGAAACGTCCGCGGGAAAGCGCAAAACTAGCGAGGTAAGGTAGACGATTTCCCATCCTCAATGTATCGGAGTTGACGTCGTGCAACCTCAGGTCTCAGTGATTTTGATGAAGAAAGGAAAAGCTTCGGCTGAGACTGAGTCCTGTAGTTATTTCATCTACTGTCGTACCAACATCGATCAGGAATTCAACGCGAAGCTGCCGCTTTTGAAGATAACTGAGGATGATCGGATGAAGGTGTCAAACGTCCCGAGCGAATACTACGACAACCAAGTCCGCATGAACAGCAAGACACTGTTGTACATGGTAAACGCCCTGCAGACCCAGGCAGCGAATGTCCGCATCTCCGTCGACCCCCAGATTTTCAGGTGCTCCATAGAAAGCAGGGAAACAGGTACGAGGACCTAGTGGCGGAGCTTTCGCTCGTGGTTCGGAGCTTCTTTCTTTATGTTTTTTGCAGCTAATAGTACTCCCTTTAAAATATGCACGACATCTTCATTTACATTTTCAGGTGTAAGTACGCACCTGAGCATACCACAAAAGAACGACACAATGACGAACAAGGAGCACTGGGTCGATCTCTCCGGCATGCGACGAAGCTTCGAGCAGCGGTTTCCACTCAAGTTCCTGCAAACGTTTACCAGTTGCGCGAATCAGGTTGGACGAGTAGATCTTTTTTTCAGGCAGAACCACCCCATCATCGTCCGATACTTTCTGGGCGAGTCACAGAAAAACGGCTACCTGTCCTTCTTCACCTCGCCGCTGCTGCAAAATGACGGCACCAGAGACGAAGACGTGGCTCCAGGGCTGTAGTAACAGACATATTTTTGAGGCTTTTAGTTGCAGGATGTAGATGTTGAAGTCGTCCTCGCGCTCGCACAATGAATCAAAAAAGGCAAAAGGATTTGCTCAGTGTAGTTCCGAAAGAATAACACGAACTTCACGGACGAGCGACTCGGAATATGACGTCTTTCACTTCTTGTGTGACGGAACTCGAGCTCCTGAAGTGAGACATGGTGATATAGTATATGAGGAAAAATGCTTGACCTCTTGTTCTAAGTACTTGTGTGCCAGCACTTGTTGTAAGTCAGTTCTGTCTTTATGTGTTTGATTCGCCACGCAGAAGTAGTGCCTATTGATGGTCGACGTTCAATCTTGAGCAGGCAACTCAAAAGCGGACGGACTGAATATTGATGTATCAGCAGTCGAGATCTTTTCATCTGAAGGAAAACGAAACTGAGTCGCCGAAGATCCAATTACAGAAACCAAAAGAAACCGCAAAAATGCTAAATGCACTGGAGGAGGTCTGACTTTTGAGACGATCAAAGTAAAAATGAGTTCATTTCCCCCTGCACCCAAAAGCAAAATAGCAGAGTCAAAAATCCAAGTGAGCATAAATTGAGATCACCTTTCTAGTTTCTACGAACTAAACAAGTTAGTACTTCTACTGACGAGTGCCGCTCAGCAGAGATCTTTGCAGTAACATCAGACGGAACACTTTTTCAGAGGATACGGCTATTCACGCTCTCTCTGGAGCAAATTTTTCATGCGGCTTCGCGTTCGCAAACCGACATCGACCCGATCGAAATACACGTAAGTACACTACCCAACGCATGTTTGAAAATGGGATCCGTTATCTAATGTAACACATCGCTTATGCTTAACGTTCACGACTGCAGTATGGAAACATAGAGGGCTTGGCGCACTAGCGCGCAGTAGCTGATCCTGGGGAGGTAAACACGCTACCTAGCACGACTGCAGAGCCCATCGCAATGATCGCTGTTGATTTATTTCTTGTATGAATCATTTGCGACCGCGTCGGCGCCGCGCATTTGCGCACCGCGGCAAGGATCGCGAAAATGCGCGAAAAGCCCCCCGCAGCCACGCGTTGCCGCTAAGCCCATCCAACGCCCACACTTACTTGGATCAGGTAGTTCTCTTTTGTCCATCAATCTGGGCACGATATCTGATGAAAATAACGCCGCGCCCAAACAAATAGGCCCTCACGTCGCCTTTTTCTTCCGCGAACAAACACAGGACGGCTTTGAGCGATCCAGCAGCTGTTCGCCGCAATGAAGGTGATCGGCCGCGGCGTCGGGTTCTGTGCTAGGGAAGTTCGTTGTTTTTCAACGGGCACAGATAGACGTTTGGCACGATGATCAACACGTTGGCTAGCGCAACTTGCCGGCTGGTGGTGTAATAGGGGGGAAAGACATGGAGAGAGATTTCCGATCGTGGCCGTAGTTGCAAGAACAGCTCAATGTGGCGCGGGTCGTGCGACAAAACTTCCGATCGCAAAGCCACAGAGGAATACGCGAGGCACTGCAAGGCTCGGGACTCGCAATTCTCGTTGTCGATGAAGGCCCAGAGAAATAGAAGCCGGGACGGGATGATGATGCCTGTGCCCGCTTCCTGTTCCTTTTCGCAGCGCTCTTGACAGCTGGGAGTTTTTCAGCGAGTGACAGGGGAGCCCTGGCGAAGTTACCCTGAAAAGGGGCGGATCATGAAATTTTTATCCGCTGTTGGTAGCCAGCGCACGCGAACACGTTTCGGTGAGGATCAAGAATTTTAACTGCGAGCACAAGGAAGCACTACGTGACGGAGGGTCGTAGAAGTTGCACTAGTGTACTACATCGTAGACAGACGCGAAGCGCGGGCGGGGCGATTGCGACCGGTCAGGCAATTGCACCGGCGATACGTCCTCGAAGGCGCGTGTTTTTCTATCTACCTACGTACCGATACCGTTACCAAGAGTCCTCCACTACATTTCCTAGCGAACACAGCACTACGGAGTCCACACACACTACCTAGCTTCGGCAACACCTTTGGTTCGGCAGTGGTCGGAGACCTCTCTTCGCCGCAGCGGAACCGCAGTCCCTTCTATTCTTGTGGCATTGCAAAAAACGTTGACAGGAAACTTTTTGGAATCGTAGAGGTGTACCTGCCGGGCGAAATCTTCCAGTGGTTATCCAATCGCAGCCAGCTATCACAGTTTTCTCGTTTGCCCTTTCGCAAAACATTCCTCGTTACTCTACTGGGTGACGTAAGAACCGTAAGCCGTAAAAGTCGATCAAAAAGCATCAACCATGGGCGGAGACATGTTGACGGGAACCGTAAAGTGGTTCGACCTCGTGAAGGGGTTCGGATTTATCGAAATCACCAACGGCAAGGACAAGGGAACGGACGTCTTCGTTCACGCATCCGACATCAAGGGACGCCCGCTGATGGAGAACGACAAGGTACGCACTTTCTTGCCTTCGCCAGAATTATTTTTCAGTTGTCTTGTTTGTTCGCGATCGCGACGCATAGGTAGCATCAAGACTTTAGGATCGATTTGGCCTCCTGATTGGCTTTGGAGTACTTATTTTCTTCACTTACTGTGTGTGAAAAATTAAAGTTTGAATTTGCTGTTTCAGTTTTGTCTGAGCCTCCTGTTATTTTTCGGAAAGAGAATTAAAGCAACACCAACTGCAGGTCGAGTTCAACATTGCGGACGACGACCGGACGTCCAGCAAGGATCGTGCCGCCAACGTGACTGGGGGCACTGGAGACTACGATGCCCGTGAGCGCGCGAAGGGAGACGGAAAGGGCCGCGGCCGCCGAGACTCGCGTGGTCGCCGCGACTCCCGTGGTCGCCGTGACTCCCGCCGTCGCCGCGATTCCCCGCGCAAGGGCAAGGGAAAGACGTCCGTCAAGCCGGGTGACTGGGAATGCGACAAGTGCAGCTTCATGAATTTTGCGTCCCGAAAGGAGTGCCTCAAGTGCGGCGCAGTCAAGGCCCCGGGTGGTCGCGTCCCGGGTGGCAAGCGCCGTGACTCCCGCTCCCGCAGCCGTTCTCCCGACCAGCGCCGCAAGGAGAAGTCCCGCTCCCGATCCAGGTCCCGTGGGGGCGACAAGGAGTCCCGTGGGGGCGACAAGGAGAAGTCCCGTGGTCGTGCTGACTCCCGCCGCCGCTAGAGGCCCGGGCAGTGAAGAAGGACCGAAACAGATTTCGGAAACGGAGATTGGAAAACGAAAAAATCATGGTAGCAACATTCATACAACGCGATTTTTTGATTTTGCGCAAGGTGAAGGGTTAGATTTGTGATCGGATGCATAGATTGACACCACTTCGGGTTTAGTTTTTCGTTACTTCCATCTTCAATGGAAAAGGAAATGATCTTGCTCTAGAACAAAAAAACATTGATATCATACAACAGGTGTCGACCAGGAGGACATCAGGTTTGATTTACTCTTGAAGGCGCTCGCACGATCAAAAGCCATCTCATCTCCACCACGAAGTCACAACGAGGAGGTTTAGCAAAAAATCCAACTTCAACCAGAGGTTTAACATGCATAAAAAAGGGGCTAGTTGCTTTCGCGTTTTCGATCGTTCACGTGGATGTGGAACCAAGCTATTTTTTTTTGGAGCTACGTACCGGGAGCAGTGGCAGTCCATGGTTCTCGTAACGTCCCGATCGGAGCGGGGGCTTTGGATTGGCACCAATGCACCACAACATTTGTTTATCGAGATTATCACAATCGTCCATTGCGCGCCGAATTCACTGTTTTATCTCATGCACTAACTGTCAATGTCGTTGTCGAACAGGAAGACAGACTGGAAATATGCAAACGCAAACACCGCTCGCAGTGGTACAAAGGGGGGTAGCTACTTGCATGAGAGGTAATATCTACAATGTCCACCTGTTCATCATGATATCGAGGAAGAAGATACGTAGGGGTAGACTCGAGCAGATACAGGTTTGTTTGTCGCTATGTCCTACGAGTTTGTCACAAAAAGGTCGGGACGGGTCGGAGATCATAGAGACGCCCTAAAATCGATTTCGTAAGACAGGGTCCTAGTTTTAACGTCGATAGCTGCTAGACGAAGGGCCGATGCTCGTTCTCGCGCAGATGTCTACGTGCGAAATGCAAATGCGAATCAAGATCAGCGCTGCTCGGAAACGAAATTCTCGAACGGGGTTCTTCAAAATTGTGAAAGGCGGAGATCTTGTCAGTGTTGCGAGCGCAGAAGGTGGTAGAGGCTCGGCGTGCGTACCCGCAGGTTGTCCCGACATTGCCATAAATTGGAACGGTGCAGCGTGGGCTCCTCAAGCAAAATGCCTCTTATCAATTCCCCTGCACGCACGACGAAATTTACTATACTATAGCCGTTGCCGTTCCGGTAGCACAACGTGCGGGCACTACAGGATCTATCATCCCTTGGAGGTGCTGTGGGACAACTTTTACCGTGATTCCAGTTAGTTGTGGTTGAACCTGAGCTACAACAAGCGCACATTTCCCCCGTCCAGCTCTACTTTATTTCGGCGGGTGCGTAGGAATACTTGACTTTCGGATTCCCTCGGGCGAAACCACCGCAACTACTCGCTCGGAGACTTTTTCAACAAACATCACAGGCTGTTCGGAATTCTATTTCGATTTGATTCTATCTCACCGTTTCCTGATCGGGGAAGCAAGGAGGACCAGCATTTTTAAGGACGTACTCGTTGAAGAACAGATAAATTTATCACAACATGGGCGGAGAACGCGTGCCGGGCGTCGTGAAGTGGTTCAACCTGGAGAAGGGTTATGGCTTCATCGAGGTGACCAAGGGGAGAAAGGCGGGAATCGACGTCTTCGTTCACTCCGTCGATGTGGAGGGCCGTCCGTTGATGGAAAATGACAAGGTACGTAGTACTATTTGTTGCGTAGTACGTCGCATGTTGTAAATTTGCTTGATGTCACTGAAGATATGTTTGATGTACTACTACATCTTCTACATACAAGATTCATCGTGCATGTCACCCGCGCTCAAAAGCAACTAGAAGCCAGCGGCGGGAACATCTCTTATCTGGTCCAAGAGCATCAATCCACTTCATCTTTACACATCAGGTTGAAATGGAGGTCGTGGAGGACGAGCGTGCCCGGAACGGGAAGGAGCGCGCCCTGATGGTGACTGGCGGAACCGGGGACCATGACGCACGCGAGCGCGCGAAGGGCCGGGGCAAACGGGGTGACTCCCGCCGCCGCGGGCGCAACGACTCCCGTGGGCGCGGGCGTGGCCGCCGCGATTCCCGCAGCCGTTCCCCCAAGGGCAAGGGCAAGGGGAAGCAGAGCATGAAGCCGGGGGACTGGATCTGCGACAGCTGCGACTTCATGAACTTCGCCGCGCGCCAGGAGTGCATGCGGTGCGGCAAGCCGAAGGGCCAGGGCGGTCGCTTCCAAGCCCGGGCGGATTCCCGCCCCCGGGGCGGTGATCGCTCCCGCTCCCGCAGCCGCGGTGGAGACCGCGACCGTGGTTCCAAGAAGGAGGACCGGGCGGGCTCCAAGCGCGACCGCTCCCGCTCCAAGTCGGACTCCCGCCGCCGCTGAGGGTAACGAGGAGAGCGAATGAATATAGTGGAAGTCGGTACTATCATGGAGCTGCATCAACATCAACACTTTCGAAGAAAAAACTTGAGAACGGAATTTCTTTGCATCAACAACCTGATTTTGAACGAGCTAGAGCTACACCATCATGGAATCGAAATACGAAAACTTACGGATATATGCATCGCAATTGTTACCAAAAATTTTTTCAACTCGTTTGACGGTCTCTGACGGCTGGTACTATTTGTGAGCGCAGACTTGAATTCTATTGTTGACTTTAAGTTCGTCTGAACGGGATGGTATCCCAATGGCAGCAGCTAACCAAGGTTTTACAACTTGAACCCCCGCAACAATAACCAGATTTCAAGACAGAGTACGCAACTAGAGAATTTCCAACTGCAACCCAGAAAAGAAAAAAATGAAAAAGCGAAAGTTTGCGCACTGCTATTCGCCTTGCTGTTCTACTTCTACGCTCGTCGCGAAAAAGCGCTTGCGATTGTGCAGAGAGGAATTTCACTTAATTCAGCAATCGAACTCCTGTAACTTCATTAAGCCGAAGTAGAACATCGCAATCGCAGATCGGTGCATATTAGCTGCATAGTAATCGTTCCAAACTCTCTGATGTGACATCACCAGTCCAAGTGAAAGAGAACAACAGAGATTTCCAGACATTCGCTGCCATAATCGGCTCTGTCGATTGGCTAGCGCCTTTTAAGGAATCTTATTATTATTATTATTAATCGTACTCGTTACAACTCGTTCTTGTTCCTCTCCTATTGAGGCAGATGAAACCATCGTTCGGCTAGCACGAGAGCACTTACCACGTACGATCACCGCTGAATTACTATTGGACGCGGTAACCACTCCGAAAATCATTTACCATGCAGGTAAATTTAAATCTATTGAAATCTTGCAGGACCACTCCATCAATGTTTGTTAGACTCTGATCCATCGAGCTGACCCTTGTTCGATATCTGTTTTCGTTTTCGAGCGGAGCGATTCATTCTTCTTTCGTAGGTCGACACCTCTAGGAGATTTTTTTCTTTACCGCCTCACAGTGATAGCTGCACTGACTACGTGTACGTTTGGCTATCTTCTGGCAAGTAAGTACGTAAGAAGGCGTAGCGGACCGCAGACAGCGCTGTTAAAAATTCTGTTGAAGTTCTGGAGCTGGTCTCTCCTTTGGGGGCAGCATACCACGCGGCAGCCCGGATTGGAGTGACGCAAGGGGAGCAAAGGAGAACCTGTTGTCGACTGCCTTCCCAGTGGTACATCTCTTGGCCAACTGTCCCAGCTAACGTGAAAAGTCCAATCCCGCAGGACGGCAAACGTGAGTCTGCACTAGACCGAAACCTTCTGAAAAACAAACGACAAGAGCTGTTTTCAGAATTGGAATTGTGTCCTCCTTCGCTCTGGTGGAGCACGAGTACGACTAGCAAAGGCGACATCTACTTGACACAAGATGGCACAGGAAGAGAACCGAAAGCTGTGCCAGGCGGCACACAAGGGCATCATGGATGGGGAGAACGGGGTGAAATTTTTCACGTCCGAACTGTTGAGAAGACAAGGTGACCTGGACTTCAGCGAGAAACCCTACTACCGAACGGCGTTCCACGAGGCAATATCCATGAACCGGGAACCAGTAGCGAAGTTCTTGCTCGACAAAAACGTCAGCATGAACTGCACGGACTACCTGGGGAGGACGCCGCTCCACGATGCATCGTACCAACCTTAGTAGCACTTTCTCAACCAGTTGTTGACCACAATTTTTTGTGATGCATCTACTTCACGTAGTAGTTCTTTTCGTTGACGTTTCGCCGTCAAAGTTCGAGGGCGGTTCTTGCAACGGGCAAATGGTGCACAGTTGGCATTGATAAGCAAAAGTGAAGTTTTGATTTCTCCCTTCAGGTTCTACGGGTATCAAGATTTGGTAAACTTGCTGCTGGACAAGAAGGCAGAAATAAAGCAGGACGACGAAGGAAGAACACCACTGTACTGAAAAATACTTTTCCGCTGTACTAGCATCTTGAAAGTGAAAGCATAGAAGCTCTTCGTGAAAAACTTGTTTCCCTGATGTACTAGTGCTTACCTTGGGTAGTTTCCGGACTAAGATCTTACAACCCAATTCAGGTTTCGGGCCGTCGAAGCGCAGCGATGGCAGATAGCAAAGACACTAATAGAAAAGGGATGCGACGCGAATGTCACCGACAAGCACGGATGCACCGTACAGATATAAGCTTTGTTCTTCATAACGGCTTTGCTTTTCTTTACAGAATACGGTCTTTTTTTAAAAATAATGCTTCAGGCTCACAATTCCGAACGATGTACTATGTGTGCATGCTCGAATTGCTCATTGTCATTTCCAATGTTCAGGCTTACCACATGGCGGCGTTCAAGGGTTTAGGAACGCAAAGCTGGTGGCTCTACTGCAAAGGGGCCTGGAAGAATCGATTTGCGTTGGAAGACATGCCAAAAGGTATTCTCTTTTCTTTTTGCTTGTTGCTTGCGTATGGGTATGCGTACGAAAAGGAATAAACGGATATGTACGCATGACAGACGCACACGCAGTTTGCTACTAAGATGGAAGTAAGTGCCAGAACGGAGTGTGAACCTTTTCCACTAAATTTTTCACAGATCAAGCAGCAGCCCCGCCTGCCCCAGCAGAGGTGCCGGCTCCCTCAGCGGAAGGCGGTTAGGCTTCCAGCGGAGGATTCTTGTCCGAGATATCGACTGTAAAATGAACCTGTCCACTTTCAAGTTTACAAATGTTTACATCGCTCGAAAATGAAAAACGCTCTCAGGTAGAGTGCAAGGAGTTGAGTAGATTTAGAATAGTTGTTATACGCAGATGAAAGCAGTACGCAAACGGAAATAAATGCAATCGCGCATGAAAGCTTTCTGTACATACGCTGTGCGCGAAAAAGAAATTTTACTTGTATGATTGCTGGTGTACTACATCATCGCAAAAGTCCGTACAACTGTATCCACACGCTTGGCGAATATGACACGATGGATTTCCACACCGCTCCCAGTGGACTAAAAAGTTTTTGTGTTCGAGCGTGTAGTACTTGCGGTACGCATCTCATCATGACCGCAACTCCGCTCCATTTTGGCGCTCTCTCCGTTGCGCTCAGGCGTGAAGAACTTAATGCGAACGGTGCAAAAATGTCAATCTCAATGTACGTCGTGGATGATGTCAAAAGCTCCACGACCGTTGTATAATGCTTCCGTCGGTTGCTCTGAGGAGAGGATCTGAAATGTAAATGTCCTTCTATCGCCCGCCTTGCATACTACAGTCACGTCCAACTCGAAAGATGTCCTTCCTGACACGATACTGCTATCGCTCGTATCATGCATGATCTTCAAGAAAAGGATCCGTGCGGGCAGCTGCACGGTCAACATTTTGTGAAGCACAAGCATTTCCGCCAAGTAAAAACGAGTATCTGCCCTAGAGACAAAAGAATGCGATACGGATGTGAGGACCCAGCCAAACTATGAAGGCAGTAAAAAGGTGATCTGCAACATCTGCGGAGTCTGAACCGTGCTGGTGTACTAATCGACTGCTGGTGGTCCTCTACTTTCCCGCACCATGGGGAACGCGTGCGCGTTCGAGAAGGACCCTCAGTCCTTCGAGGAGTTTGCACGCAGCATCGACAACCCCGGCAACTCCACAACGTCATGGCAGGAGTGCGCCGCGTATCGGATGTGGCGGTGGCGGGACGGCGAGCAGCCGGCCGCTGCAGGGGTTTCGTGCCTCGATATGGATTGCAAAAATGTCTGGATCTGGAAGATTAGAACTTGTCATGCTAAATCTAAATGATGCAAAAATCTGTGTTGCGTGAGTGCCAAAAGCTGTCCGCGTTTGACCAAGTTGAGAGGGAGTTTCTCATGCAGGAAAGGCATGATAGAGACCTCCAAGAATCTGTCATGCTGGGTCTCGCATTCCAGACCTCATGGGTCATGGAAAACCTGCATCACAAATCTTGCATTCTTCCAGACCCAGACATTTTTACATCTGATACTCGACGCGAAGCAGCAGTTCGAATTCAATCCTGAAGACCTTCGCCGAGACGAATGCTACGTGATCATGGAGGTATGCGATTGTGGCTTGGAAACGTTCATCACAAAAATGTACATGAAAGTTATAGAAAGGGACGACGTGAAGAGAATGATATGATGTCTACTGTATGTCAATGTGTAGCCCCAGCCTAATCTCACACAAAATGTTCAGTGTGTCGAATCAATCTGGTGCCACTTTCATCGTCTCTACTAGGTAGTGTTCGGAAAAGTGCGGTCGTACATGGAGAGCTCCATAGCAGATGATGGCCCCTCCGGTGTTGTCTTTGTTGCCTGCGCCGTGCCGTCGGTCCTAAATTAGGACCGATGGGGCGCTGGCTCTATAAAATAATACGCATATGGGAGGGACTAGAAGCAAAGATGGTGCTTCAGCTCCGCACGTTCCCGCTCGTGCATAGATAAGAACACTACTGCAGCGACCTGTTGCTGTGTTTTGGGATGAATCAGAGTTGGACGTAGTAGCCTCCTCGGAGTTTCTCGTTGACCACCACAGTCGTGTCGCTCTCCAGCTTCCAACCTGCAGTAGGGTGATTGGACGAATCAGAATTGAAGCTTCTCCTCCAGATGTTCCCGTTCTCTATAAAATGCTGTTCTTATCCCTCCTCTCCGTGCATAGATAAGAACACCATTTTCAGGTCGTTACAAACATGTTCTTATCTATGCACCAAATGGAGGATAAGAACAGCATTTTTCGAGAGCGGGAACATTTGGCGCAGAAGCTTCAATTCTGCTTCGTGCCAAACACCAGCTTCAGGTCGTTACAAACATGCTCTTATCTATGCATGGCGTGGAGGATAAGAACAGCAGAAAACGAGACCGGGAACATCTGGCGCAGAAGCTCCAACTCTGCTTCGTGCCAAAACATCAATGCCAAATGCCAGGTCGTTGCAGTAGGTGTTCTTATCTATCTTTTTGGAGCGTTTAAACGAATACCAGGCGGGAAGCTTTTTGGGTCTTCTGCCAGTGCGTCCACCACGGCCGCGAAAGCGGTCCGGTGCCAACGGTGAGTGATTGGGGCGGCGGGTGAGAGATGGGGGCGCGCTTGAAGAGTTCCAAGAGGACTCGAGGGGCCTGCGCACCAAGTCCGCACGAGCCGGCTTGCGGCCTTTTTTGGGTCGCGAGTACGTCGGGCTCGGGGCCGCGGAAAAGATGCCCGCCTGCGCCGGATGGGTGTGTTGTGAGTGCCCGCGGGGCGCGTCGATCTGCGCAGTGGGGGGGCCTCTTTAGTCTATGTCTAGGCTCGCCGGGGTGCTAGCGTGCCAGCCTGTTGGTTTCTCTAGAGCGACGCCTGGGCCGCGTGCAAAAACCCACCAGGGGAGGCAACACCACTCCTACGCAGGCGCGACCATAAAAGCTGCAGCGCCTGCGTTGGCGCAAGAAAAAGGGCAAATCCCGACGGTATGCTGCGAATTTCTTTAGGGATAAGAACAGTGCTGAAGATCACCTATTTCGTCTCTATACATCGTCTCTAGGTAGTGTTCGGAAAAGTGCGGTCGTACATGGAGAGCTCCGTGGTGACGCGTATTGAGCTCCCACCCGGTTTTGACGTGTCGCCGATTTGCCGCGATTTGTGGAATTTCACGGCACCCACGTCGCCGCGCGCAGTGCAAGCTCCGACGAGAAAGCCGATATCGGGGGTTGGCGACGCACCCTTCAAGACCCCGGAGGGGGCGGGTTTTCCCGTACACGTGTTGGTGCCCAAGGTGCAAAACATGGAGAAGGTTTTGCAAAGCCCCCGGGGAACCTCGCCGCCGCCAGACTCCGGCCGGCAGATTCGTAGCGATGTCATGGTCACTTTTTTCCGAGTTAAGGGCGATCGCGTGAAGAATGAAGTCTTCCACAAGGCGCTGCGGCAAGTGAACGTTCTGCACCGGAAACTGGCGCACCAGAGATCAATTGGTCCGCTGCGGCGGAATCTTGTTCTAGATGTGGCGGTCCCCGTAGATGCCGGGCCCTCTGCGGTTCCAACGCGTCTTGAGACTGCGTTCTCCGTCATGAACGATGTTCAGCAGAGTGGCAGAAGTACAATTTTTTGTTGTAATTCTAGTTTTTCTTTTTTCTTTCACCTGAACCACCTGCACCTCCAATGTAGATGACAATACCACACTGAACAAAAATAAAACACTTGTGGCAGCACCAACCCGTTGTGCGGGTGATCGTTGATGAAGAATTCTCGTTTATCCACAGATAATTTCGGCTACGTCACAACGCCGCGATTTGAACTCGGTTCTCTTCTGCCCAGAGCAACTTCATTTCGCGACGGGACTTCGGCAGACACCTGGAACCGTGCCGCAGCCGCCGCAAGCTCCTGGGCAACAGCGAACTCGGGTCGTCCCGGGCGGTCACAGGATGCAAGTAACTACGACGATGCCACTACGATCATGGGAAACAGAAGTTCCCAAATGCAGCAGAAGGCACCTTCGAGCAGTAGCACGACCAGGAACTACCCAGCAAAGCCGGCAGCCGGTACTACCGCACCAGTGCCGCGCGTCATGAATTTCCAGAGTGGCGGCTCGACCGGGTCTTCGGCGATTTTTTCGCCCGCGAGGCGCGTGTTGCAGCAGACTCCCCGTTTGTCGCTTCCGGGTAGTTATGGAGAACTCTGCGTGCCTGCGCTGCTGCCCACAAGCGCGAAGCAAACCAACGTCGCAAGGCCGGCCGCCTCGACGGCCAAGCCCTCGGGTCTCGACGGACCGTTTTCGCGACCGCAGGCACTGCCAAAATTTACTGGCGCGACGCAGGTGACACAGATACCATTGTTGGGGACGTCGGGCGGGGCGACAAGTCCAGACAAAAGCGTGGGACGGCCCCCAGTGCTCGGTCTGGGCGGTCGCTTCAGCATTCCCATGCCGAGACCGCAGTCCTTCCCTATGAGCGCAGTGCTGCAAGCGACCCCGCTGGCCACTCCTCGCCTGCCACTGCAGCCAGGGCTCGGTGTGTTCACCACTCCGCGGGCGCAATCGTTCCATGCAGGGGCGGTCAAGCCACCACCCGCTGCTGCTGCAGGCCGGGCAAATCAACAAGATTCTGCGAGAGGACGGCCGCAGACCGCTACGCCCCGCTCTGCACGCGGAAAAGGCGCTGCTGGTATGCAAGCTTTTGAAAATCTTTGCTTTAACCATGCGTACACCAGCTATCCACCATGGGGCCGCATAAGTACACTTACTTGCGATTCCAATCTACATATAGTCGTTTGCATGCTTGTGGTTGTGATATCATCTCATCCCCTTCCCCTCCCAAACCTGCTATAGGTCAAACGCCGTCGGACCCGACGAAGAAGCTGGTTTCCCCCGCGGACCGCTACCGTCAGAACTTGGTGAAGCAGGCAGTGATGTCGCGGGTGAGTCCACGCGAACAGGACGAGCAGATCGTGGAGCACTCCACCCAAATCGTGATGAAGTCGCCCAACGTCCAGGTCCTCGCGGAGGACGCTGCGTCCCCCGAGCGGGCGCCCGGCGTGCTGAAACGAAGACGCGGCGAGCAGGTGGCGGCCACCGGCGAGGGGGAGGGCGTGACGCCGCCGACCCCGCGGGTGGTGCAACAGAGCCAACAACAGCAGCTGCAGTACGGCGCGGAGGCCGAGAACCAAAAAATGCTCGAAAAATACCGGCCGGAGTTGAGCGAGATACCCTGCGACCTCGACGATCCATCGCTGGCGCGGTTGAAAGGAAGCTTCGTTTATATCGGGGCCTCGGATGTCGCGAGAAACAAGACACAGCTTCTGAATCAGGGGATCACACACATCGTCAACGCCGCCGCCGAAGTAACTGACAACTTGGAGGACTCGGACGACGACTCGCGTACTTCTTGAATACAAACATAGATTTCGTTTTTTTTTTTGAATCCGCAAGCATTTCGACTTCAAGTGTAGTTGCTTTCGGTGGAACTGAAAAATGTGGTAGGAATAGAAAGACTTCTATCCTGCTCTTACTACAGCTCAGAAAGCCCCGTCGCGGCACTTCGAGTACCTCACCTTTTACTTCAAGGACGGCCGCGCGGAGGATATCTCCAGTGGATTCTTCAAGCTGCTGGAGTTTTGCGTGCAGGCCGCGGATATGAACTGCAAAAGTAGCGTATTCGTATAAATGCACTACAAATTTCGTCAGCATGAGAGATAAAATTTGTAATGCGGATTTTCCTTAAGAAAAAAATTGATGCATGATTGCCATACGAGTACGATACTTTTGCACAGGATAGCGGAAACGACCCGGAAAAAGCCGCGCATCTTGTTCCACTGCGGCCAAGGTGTGAGCCGAAGTTGCACTCTGTGTTTGGTGTACCTGATGCACCTGACCAAGAAGCCCGTCGGGGAGGTCCTCTCGCGCATTCAGCAAACGCGCCCCATTTGCCGCCCCAATACCGGCTTCTACGTCCAGCTTCTGCTCTGGCAGAAGGAACTGGGGATTCCGAACCCCAACTCAGAAAAACCTGGGGAAGCGGTACTAATTTTGCAATGTATGACCCCCATAAGTCACAGAGTCGATGCTGATGCAGGTCCTCGCCGTTCAAGCAAATCCACACGAGTACAAAAAAGAATAGAAAACCTCTAAGTCCCGAGGACGATCTCCAACGTTACTTAAATTTATACAGGTAGTAGCCGATCCGAAGCTTTGCAAGATCAGGTGTCACCACGACCGGGACCCGTTTCTGGTTCTGTTCGCGGTCGAATACCGCAATGTGCCCTCGTTGTGGATCGACCCGCGCTTCGATTACGCGTGCTTTGACAGCAAGCGGAACAAGTTCTTGGTGTGGCGTGGGCCCGAGTCCGTGGTTCCGGAGCAGGAAGCCGAGAAACTCCTGTTGCAGGTCAGCGACTGCCGAAGGCGGTGGCTGCCACCCAACGAAAGACCCGTCATCGATTACTGCCGAGACCCGAACCCGTCCGAGGCCTTTTGGGGCATTCTGCGGAGCGAAAACAAAGGCTCAGGGCAGGTATTGGAATTTCGGGTCCTGTTTCGTATTTTTTCTGGAACTTGTAGGGCGAAAAGATTCAAATGTGAATCAGGACGAGTTCTTTTACTTTGACAACTACGTGAACAACATCTACTTCCGGTGAATCGGTGACCAAGAAATTTGCAGGTGCAATCAATACGGAGTAACGATGACGACTACGAGCTGCTGGTCAAGACGTTTGGAGCCAAAAATGAGACGCCGCGGACACCGATGACCTCGCCAAGGACGCCCCCGTTGAACACCGAAGTTGTTACGTCATCGAAGACAAAATTGAAAATCAAACCGCAGCTTTTCACGTACCTGTTTTTTCTGTTTGCGTGTAAAAGTAGCAGGACCAGGACTAGGATCAATCTAGATGTACAAGCAACAGTGCAAAACCTCCTGTACTAGTACTTACGTGAAGCAACGTCCCATTCCAGGTGCCCAAATTGGGACGATCCGATGAGCATGCCCGATCCGGACGACCTCGACAGCGAATTCGTGCAATTGTTCTTTGCACCCGATTCGGACGGGGAGCCGACGATCTTCCTGTGGGTCGGCGCCTTAGCTCATCCAGATGACAAGGCAAAGGCAAACTCGGGGAAGTTTGCAGAAGACTTCTTGCAGAGCCAGGAGCTCGTGCGCAGTCAGGTTCGGATCGCCGGGGTGGAAGTGGAAAAGCAGGAGTCTGACGAGTTCTGGGAAGTCTTCGACAGTGTGTGATGAACAGTCGCGGTTACAATTTTCCCTTGGGCTGCAGTCCCAGACTCGGTTCGCATTCAGAAATTCTTTTAGTCTACTACTCAACAAAGCAAACGCGTACCTACCAGGATCAAGATCTATCGGCAGCTACGGCTACAACTGAAATGCACAGGCTGTCTCTTGCTATGTGCTTAAGCGGCCTATATGGGAATGGGATATTAGCCATAGCGTGTTGGCGCGCCGTCACAGGGACCAGATTGTCCAAAAGGTGGAACAACGAGCAGAAACCCCTAGAGTCAGAGTGTCCTATGTATGTTGATGTGAGGCTACGTTTATGGAAGCATGTTTCTTGGAAGGGAAGAATTCTGAGAGTTGGTGAAGAGTGTGCGCGACATGGTTTCGATAGGAGGTTTTCACATGACGGACTGCACTGTAGCTTTTCTTTTTCACCTTCTACTTAAATCATCCCACCCTGAACAGCACCGCTAACGCCGGAGCATGGTAGTGTGAAAATATGCTTGTCGCGTATAGTTCTGCTGCCTGGCGTTTCGCCGGCTTGGCAGTGCTGCTCACCCCGCATTTTTGTGTCGTCGAATGCGCAAACGTTTTGCGGCACAAGTTGATGCTGGGCCAAGGTAAGAGCAAGTTGAAGACCGAGGCCGCAAAAAGAGCCCCCGGGGGCGTTTTCGACACGGATGAAGCATCAACGTTGTTGACCAAGACGTACGAGGACTTGAATCCGGGATTTAACATCCCGGCACAAGAGCAAAAGGCACTGGAGGCGGTAGGGGGTTCGCCGATTTACGGGGAAATTCTACCGGAGTCGTTGGCGAAAGTTCTGGAGTACGTGAAGCCCACGAGAGACGATGTCTTCTACGATCTCGGGTCGGGAATCGGGAAGACGGTGCTTCAAACCGCGCTCACCACACCCGTGAAGAAAGCAGTCGGTATCGAATTCGAAGCGACAAGACACAAAACGGCGCTCCAAGCACGCAAGGCAGTGCTGGGAACGCCGGCGGCGGCCGATAGGGTGATCGAGTTTGAGCAGAAGGACTTCGCGAAGGCGACCCTCGACGATGCCACCATCGCCTACTCATGCGCAACCTGTTTCTCTACGGAATTGCTGGGAAAGATCTGCGATTTGCTTCCACAAAAAAAGGTGCGCATGTTTGTGGTTCTCAAGGATCTCGGGGACGTGGAAAATTGTACCCGAAAGTTCTGGAAAGCGCACGTCATGCAGTTACCCATGTCGTGGAGCCGAAAATCCGGTGGAAGTTCGATCTACTTCTACCAGCCGCATGCGTGAACGAGTAGAAGAACTGGGTGCAAAGCCGGAGGAGAAGCGAACGCAAAGGCGATTCTCATAGTGCAGCGGCGCCGGGCTCGCGGCGTCCTCACAGCCAAACATCAGAAACTCCATGATCATGTAACGGTGACCGGATTCGGGCGCAATTCTCGTTGTTCAAGACGACTAGTAGCTTGGCGATGACTCAGACAGACGTTTCCAAAAGAAAAGAATGAACCAGGAAAGCAACCAGATACAGTTTCTTGCGTTTTTTGGCTGAATGTATAAGGATAAAAAGATGAAACCAAGATGAAGTAAAGCTGAATCAGAGCAGGACATACGTTTCGCAATGTAGTAGATGGCTCTCCCAAGATGACGCATGAGAAGAAGGTAGCAGGAGACAGTGACAACTTGCAGCTCCTACGAGAATGGCGCTATGACGTGAGGTGTATCAATCTCACCGAAGATGTGTTACTCCATCCGCCTGCGGTAGGGTGGGAAAAGATCTCAAACGATGGTGATGATCCATACCGGCGCTGCATCTACCTGGATTCATTTGAGCGACCTCATGACGCGGCCCAAGATCGAGAACACGGAGAAGAGGTGCACCATACAAGTTGAGAGGCACTAGTAAGCAAAATACGATAACGATTTCACGGACCGATTCCACCAACCTGGCGTAAGAAGTGTGCTTCTTCGCGATTTCTGCTTTCAACATAACAAATTTTTGAATCTTGTAGCTACGGTTTTTTTGCATACAGCCGAAGCTGCAGCAGTACTAGCATTAAATCCTGCTCACACGACTACCACGACACTGAGAAATACGTTAGTGCAAAACTACTGCCATGTACGGTGTGCCGCGGTTTCTGGTTCTCCTGCTGCACCAGGTTTGCTTCCTTCATCAAGATATCAAATGCAAAAGTGTCTGGGTCTGGAAGGATGCAACTTGTGATGCTACCTTTGGACTCTACATAAAATCTGTATTGCATGAACAGCAAAAGACGCGTAGTTTGTGCTACGCGGAGAGGGCATTTCTCATGCGGTATGAGCATCAGAAAGCCCTCGCAAAATCTCTGATGCCAGGGCATGCATCACAGACCTCACGGGGCATGCAAAATATGCATGGCAAACTCCTGCACTCTTCCAGACCCAGACATTTTTGCAATTCATACAAGATGTGCGGGGCGCCTCGTTTGTGCGACGCAACATGGTGCCCCTGCAGCGTCGTGCTGATGTGATCGCGAAGGCTGAGCAAGGCTTTCGGCAGTTGAGCGCCTGCGCAGGCGACCTGGTGAACACTGTTTACGGGAGTCTGCCCTCGGGATTTTACGTGCCGGAGAAGGAGCAGGCGGCGCTGAAGGCAGTGGGGGGCAGCCCGTTGTACGGGGAAGTGCTTTCCGACTCGTTGGCGCAGATCCTCTGGCGCATGGACGTGACGGCCAATGACGTTTTCTACGACCTCGGAAGCGGGCTCGGTAAAGCCGTCGTGCAGACCGCGCTGACGACGCCGGTGAAGCGGGCCATCGGGATCGAATTCGAGCCGACGCGGTACGACGCCGCGCAGAACGCGAAGCTGTTTCTGTTGAGAAACTCGCTGACGAAGGTGCAGGAGGTGAACCAGATCAACAAAAAGGATACGAAGGGGTTCTCCTCTCTGTTTCGGAAGACGCAGGAGTCCCTCCCGGAGCAGTGCGGGAAACTGTCCCCGGAGCAGATTCGGTCGCTCACCGGATCGCCCGACAACGTGCGCAAGATCGATTTCCGGAAGAAGGACTTTACCAAAGCGAAAATGGACGATGCCACGCTCGTATACAACTTCTCCTTCTCCCGCGAGCAGCTCGGACAGGTGTGCGCCGCCCTGCCGAAAAAGCTGCGCATGTTTGTTTCCATGCACGGGATCGAGGGCGTCACCGCCTGTTCGTCGAAATTGGTGGAGGAGCGCAAGGAGAACCTACCGTTTTCCTGGAGCAAGATCGATCCCACCAGCGATCGGGAAAAGGATTCGGGCAGCCCGGTGTACTACTACCGATTGAGGGATGAAAATGCAGTCTGAAGTAGTAGTGGCGAAGCGAATAAATGTGACACGAAGCTGGAGCCAGGATGATAGCTCACCAAGAACCATGATTTTTTATTTCGTGGAACTGTACGATGAATAAAGCGCTATTTCCTCGCTGTGCATGCGCTTGAACAAGAGTTTTAGCATTGACACGTCTACAACATCGCTGAAGAATAGCTACTAAGCCTAAGGGATGCTGTTGAAGTCACGTTGCATCCGTTCAAGACGGCCCTGCTGCATCTAGAACGCAGTATACATGTGTACAATGGTCTTGCGCCCACTCTCGCTCAACATCTGGAGTCGGAACTTAAGTACATTCAGGTCCAGCTTCTTGGCTTGTGCCGGGCTACGTGCTATAGAACTGTGGGTCAACAATGCCCGCCAGGTTGCCTCTTGTTTGTTCATCTCTCAGACGTGTAATTTCGCGTCGAAGGAATTGTCGGGACGGAACAAAGGATAAAGGAAAGTCTGGGAAAGCATTAGGTACATCTACAGTCTCGGGTGTGGGTATGGGAAGACAGGTTCTACTTTGTTGTCGTGTATTCAGTAATTTGATAGCTGATGTTTCCCTACTCTTTCCCGTTCGGACGTCGAAACTCGTGCCAGTATGATCGCATATCGTCAACTCGTCACAAATCTTAGTCCCGTCGGTCTTCTCCTATTTTTGTGTTTCTACTGCTCCTCATTGTTATTTACAACATCGTTAAATCTTCGTAATGAAAATAACTGTTTGCAATTTCATTTTGTCTCGTTTGAAAATAACCTAGTCTAAAGCAGGAATCAATCACAGACGTGGACATGCATACGGATTCGTTGGGCCTTCGTCAATCTGTTTGGTTTTTGATTTTGTTGGAATCGTGTTTAACTTTCTACAACTTACCTTCGTTGTGAAGTTCAAAGTTTTCCTGGGCTGCCGCAAACGCTCGCTACGAAGGACACTCATCGTTGTTTCAGACAGAACCGGGTACTTTTTTTGTTTGCGGGAAAGATACTTTTTTTTGTAGACTAGTTTTGAATTGAAGATCTCGTAGAACTACAATGTCGGGTGCGGACGAAGTCCGCGGATACAACGATGAGGGCCGAAATTTGCGCATTCCGGTGCAAGACACGGGCCCCACGCCGATTTATTTCGGACCCCAGGACCGGTTGTCAAAAACTCACCATTATCAAATGTAAAAATGTCTGGGTCTGGAAGATTGTGACACTTGTCATGCACGTTTTGCATGAGCCATGATGTCTGTGATGCATACTCTAGCAATACGGATCTTTTGAGGGCTTCTTGATGCGTATTCCGCATGACAAATTCCCTCTCCGCGTAGCCAAAATTGCATTTCCTTTTTTGGTCATGCAATACAGATTTTTTTAGAATCCAAATGCAGCACCACAAGTTCGGATTCTTCCAGACCCAGACATTTTTACATTTGATAACCATGCGGCATTTCGAAAGTACTGCGACAAGCCAGGGCACGAGCACACCGGCATTGATGACATACAGGTACCTGCCTGCGTTGAGATGTGCGTTGCTTTGAGTGGTTCTAGTTTTATTTTTGAAGAAAGTTCAGCGTGGCAGGTACAGGCTTGAAAATTGATCGGTTTTCATCTGATGGCATATGAATGCATTTCATTTTCAGCTCGGCAGACTACACAAGATTCCAGCCCGAAAAATTGGCCACATGCCAAGGGTTGACCAGCCGAAGTATGTCACAAATGTGAGTAAGTACCTCGGGTATATCCCGAAGAAGGGGCCATGCAACCAATTCTCGACAAGGTGGCACCAGGGAATAGAAATTGCCTACCAGAGGCTCGGTACAGAAATTATTTGAATTAGGATTACTTTTTCGATCTCATGCGGTTTTTGTGTTGAACAATTGATCTTGATGCGAACTCTTGACATGGTGCGCAAAAGATTGTTTTTCGACCATAAGATGGATAGAAAATGATCGTCCTTCTAGTATAAAACAAAAACAGGTAAATGCGGTCCTTCGAAGCTCGAGCGCGCCATTGACAATCCGAAAGCCCTGCAGAAGAAAAAGTCGATGAAGCAAATACAAAGAGTGCCTGGTACCAGCACGAATCAACCAGCTGTGTACTCGGAAACTGTCATCGGCAAGAAACTCGGAGACGCCAACGCGCGGGCTCAGGAATTGAGAGAAGTATGAAAGTATATGTTGAGTTTTGTGGTTTAAATCTTCTTGCGAACGTGTAAAAATCAAAATTGATTTTCACGAAAAAAATAAACAGTACAACCCATACGGTACGGCGCAGTGGTTTCATCGGGACCCGAAGTATTCGCTTTCATGGACAAGATTAAATCCTGGATCCGACCTTAGGGTAGATCTGCAAGACCAATACACCCCGGAAGAGAACAAGTATACTTCTTACATTTGGATCATCTCGTATGTAGAAGATCAAGTTGTCGCTGTGAGTCTTTGTTTTGTTGTTTCACATTGTGGTGCATGCAGTTGAACGTGGCGATTTCCTCGTGACTAGATGACGCCCCTAATGCACAAAAAGCTGCAAAAAGGACGAAGCAAAAACAATAAACGATCCAACACGACAGGTACGCGAGCCTCTGTGCGATGGAGCGAGAAATTATGCCATTGTCGTACACCGAGCCGATGACGTGGTGCAAGTACACGGCGGGCCTCAGTCACGAGTCCGGTTTGAGCTACAACCCGGGGAACCTCAAAAAGCACAACGTTTCCACCATGAGAGCCGCGGGGTGCCCGAGTCACTACGGCACCGAGCAGCTGGAATCGGCGCGCTGGCAGATGCACATGTGGTTCAGCCGCGATCCGAGCTGCGGCTCCATGAAGCGTGGCAACATGATTGAGCCGCACTAGTGGACGGTGGATGAAAACTGTTTTTACGTGACAAAGAACGTGAGTAGAAAGATGACGCTAGATAAAGAATTTCTATTCACGTAGAAAGCTGATCTTCTGTGTACTAACAGAAACCTACGTCTTCATGTGCTTTCCAGATTCTAGTGCTTGCTAATTCTCCACGGTCGTATTGTTGCGATACTGCGTCGTGGTGCCTCACTTTGAAGATCAAAGAATGCGCGCGGTCGCGTAGAGCTGCTCGTTTGATGAACCTTTTTGTATTTTCTATTCCCAATGAACCACTTTCGGTTTCGAAGTCGCAAACGCAAGAATGGCGGGTTTGCGCTTTCGTAAGTAACGGTATCGAAGTGTTTAGTCGCACCTAATTTATTCACACTTGAGTTAGCCATTAAAGTATTGATCTAGATTACACCATCGCTTTTGTTCTCTATACGTTTATGTCATGTTAGTTTATGTCATGGATTACCTTTGTGCGATAGTCATAATCGCCACAGCGAGAAAACGGAGGCTGTAACAAATTCGCTTCTCGTTATTTCATACGGATTGCGCTTGCGGTTTGCGTTAACTTTCTTTGATTGTATCTATGTTGCGTTTGAGAAATCTTGTATTTGACGTATCCACAAAACGCCTGTACATATTGATTTGTCGACGGAGGCCTTCAAGAAAATTTATCTGTACAAAAGATCGAGCCGGAAACAGCACAGGTTACGGCATCACGTTCCATCTGTACAAGACTACTTTTGCGTTCCTCGACATTGTCGGACTGACCACAAGTAAAGAATTTCAGAATTTCAGTTGATCTATTCGGGTAATGCATTCGGATCACAACGTGAACGTGTATGTGTTGCAGACGTATGAGGTCTTTTTTCTTTTTCTCCTTCTCCGATCCGCCCCACCTCAAGGATTTTTTCGAGGTCTTCTGCAGTAAATAGACTCCAACTGCGCCATGCTTGCAGAAAGGCCAATTATCATCCTTGATCGTATCAGCGACATAGGAAGAAGTTTTGTTCAAGGTTTTGCTATTTCACCCCTAATTGGAGAAGAGTCAATTTATTCTGAACATCAACATTTAGACTACTATCATTTTTTGCGCAAAATGGATACAGCCGATGCCGACAAGGAGGCGTCCGCAGCATGCGGTGATTCGCAGCAATACTCTGCTGCGCCACCGCCAGCAAATAACAAGATCTCAGTGGTAGTAAGCCGGCATGATGCAGGGTTTTCCGAAAATGCGTACAGGTTTGTGGAAAACCTTTTTCCCGACAAGACTTTGGTAACGAAGTATTTCCAGGCACGAATAGCGTTCACACGCAGGGAAGACGCTAAAGCAACCGAAAGCGAAAGGCCGGACGCTGGAATCGTACTAATCTACCGAGGTCTGTCCGAATTGCGGGACCTGTTGGAGGCGCGACCATCTGCGTCGGCGGCATTTTCCTCAAACTCTGCCGAAACAGGGGGTGACGGGGCAGAGGAAGAGATTGCTGAACAATTTCGGTTGGCGGTTTGCGTTCTGAATGCTCAGGACGGAAAACGGAACGACCGAGGTGAGGTGTCTGCTTTCCGTGTAGAGGAGCAGGATGACCAGGAACGGGAACAGCGTAGAAAAGCTATATCAATGCTTTTGCCATTGACATTTTTTTTTCTTCAAACTTCTGTCTTCTGGTTTGCGTCTGCGCAAGAAAACATGTGAGTAAAAAGTAGCGTAGGATGGTCACATGATGAACTTCTCCGCACATTGGATTTTCATTTGCGTTTCTCGGTCCTAAAGCTAAAGCAATTCCTCGAGAAATAAAATATTGACAACTACAGACATTGACCTGTGCCTGGATCACGGTTTCCAGCGAATAGCCATCAAGGAAGAGGAAGTTCGGGATTTCCTTGGCCGAGAGCGAGACGACACGCAGCTGCTGCCCGCACAGAAACCTTTTCCCATTGGCTCTTTGTTGAGAGGAGCACACCCAGAATCATGCGGTGCGGAGCCGAATTCTTTTGTCGACCAAAGTGCAGCAGACGTTTCTGCCACAGAGGAAATCCGGGAGACCTTTTTGTGTCATATGTGGCCCGTCATACAACCAGTTGAGGCAAAGAAAAAAACTGAGACTAATGAAGGGCGAACCACCAGCCCAGCGTCACCCATACGCCGGGACCTCGGTGTAGTGATAAAAAACCGCGAGAGCGATGCGCTTCTCCGTGATAGCACCCCATCAACCGACGATGCTTCGCCTGCATTGGAGCCAACATCGAGAGGCGCAGAGGATGGAGACCTAGTTTTGAGTTCCGACTCACCCTCGAAAGTAGCTAGTACCGCGTTGCACCAGGAAGTCGCGGGGGCACAACGAGAATGCTGTGAGAAAGCAAGGCAGGGACAAAAGCCAGCTACATCCGTAGAACTAGAAAACGCTGCGGAAGAGGATCAAGCCGAACACTTGGAAGCATTGGACACTTTGATGCAACACATGCGATCGGCTCATGTGCAGGCGAAAAACGAAAACCTCTCCGATGACGCGCGCCGCAATCGGGCAGAGGAGCTTGCTATGCGTATGATGGAACTCCTAGAGCTCAGCGACGAGGACGAAAAATGACATTGATTGTTTGATCGAGTGGATCTCTTTGTAACAAGCGGCATCGAGAAGCACAACAAGCGACAACGAACTAAAAAGCAAACCTAAGTACTATCTATGCGAAAGAAAAGCGACGCGATGTAGTTGTCACCCAGACGGAAGTCATTTGTCGATAGGTTTTCCTTTTCGCGACAACATGTATGTTCGTCTCCTTGACACAGAAAGTGCGCTTTTATTTAGGTCGTTGCGTCGATGTCGTCTCTGTGTTGTCTTTGGTCGTCTTGCTTCCTGGCTGAAAGTCGATGAACTCACCGCAGAGACAGAGAGATGCTAGCCATAACAAGGAAATACCCTTTTCCGAGCGTGCCTACCACTAGCGGAAACTGGGTTAGGGTTGTCGAAATCACAATCAGTAGATATGTGGCCCAAATCCAAAAACTGGGGCGCTAAGCCGGGCGGTCTTGTGAGTGGAATTCCTGTTCTGTTTTTGGCCGCCTAGGAGGAAGATCGCCGCGGGACATGGTGTGTGGTACCTTTTGGCCCACTAACTACATAACATATCATGGTCCACCTTTGCGCTATCCCATTTGTGTCAAGGACCATCAGAAAAGCAGCAGATAAAAATAAAACTTTGAAAATTCGCGGATTTTGCTGCGCGATAAAAATAAAAGTTTGGAATTTCACAACTCAGAGCGAGGTGACTAACGCAACGCGTTCTATGCGTTTCTTTCGAGCCGCAAAAGCGGTTACGATAGGCCGACCTCTGAAGAGATTTTGGAGGCACTATCATGCTGCTCTTGACGAGGACGCACGGCGCTGGCTCAAAAAAACTCCCGTGCGCAGGGGAGCAAAAGCGCGTCCTTGGAGGTGCGCTCACAACGAGCACACCTTGCGGATGCGGTCGGAACGGGGGGCCAAAAAAGCTCCCGTGCGCAGGGGAGCAAAAGCACGTCCTTGGAGGTGCGCTCACAACGAGCATACCTTGCGGATGCGGTCAGAACGGGGGCCCAAAAAAGCTCCCGCGCGCAGGGGAGCAAAAGCACGTCCTTCGAGGTGCGCTCACAACGAGCATACCTTGCGGATGCGTTCAAAACGGGGGGCCAAAAAAGATTCCGTGCGCAGGGGAGCAAAAGTAGTGCCCTAGTAGTGCGCTACCAACGAGCATACCCTGCGGATGCGGTCAGATTTGGGGGCCAAAAAAGCTCCCGTGCGCAGGGGAGCAAAAGCGCGTCCTTGGAGGTGCGCTCCCAACGAGCATACCTTGCGGATGCGGTCAAAACGGGGGGCCAAAAAAGCTCCCGTGCGCAGGGGAGCAAAAGTAGTGCCCTAGTAGTGCGCTACCAACGAGCATAGCTTGCGGATGCGGTCAGATTTGGGGGCCAAAAAAGCTTCCGCGCGCAGGGGAGCAAAAGCGCGTCCTTGGAGGTGCGCTCCCAACAAGCATACCTTGCGGATGCGCTCAAAACGGGGGGCCAAAAGAGCTCCCGTGCGCAGGGGAGCAAAAGTAGTGCCCTAGTAGTGCGCTACCAACGAGCATACCTTGCGGCTGCGGTCAGATTTGGGGTCCAAAAAAGCTCCCGTGCGCAGGGGAGCAAAAGCACGTCCTTGGAGGTGCGCTCACAACGAGCATACCTTGCGGATGCGGTCAGACCGGGGCACCAAAAAAGCTCCCGTGCGCACGGGAACAAAAGCAAGTCCTTGGAGGTGCGCTCACAACGAGCACTCCTTGCGGATGCGGTCAGAACGGGGGGCCAAAAAAGCTCCCGTGCGCAGGGGAGCAGAAGCACGTTCTTGGAGGTGCGCTCACAACGAGCATACCTTGCGGATGCGGTCAGAACGGGGGGCCAAAAAAGCTCCCGCGCGCAGGGGAGCAAAGGTAGAACCCTCGCAGTGCGCTACCAACGAGCATACCGTGCCCATGCGGTCAGAACGGGGGGCCAAAAAAGCTCCTGTGCGCAGGGGAGCAAACGCACCTCCTTGGAGGTGCGCTACCAACGAGCATACCTTGCGGATGCGGTCAGAACGGGGGGCCAAAAAAGGTCCCGCGCGCAGGGGAGCAAAAGCACGTCCCTGGAGGTGCGCTCACAACGAGCATACCTTGCGGATGCGGTCAGAACGGGGGGCCGAAAAAGCTCCCGTGCGCAGGGGAGCAAAAGCAGTGCCCTGGTAGTGCGCTACCAACGAGCATACCTTGCGGATGCGGTCAGAACGGGGGGCCAAAAAAGCCCCCGCACGCAGGGGAGCAAAAGCACGGCCTCGGAGGTGCGCTCACAGCGAGCATACCTTGCGGATGTGTTCAGATCTGGTGGCGAAAAAAGCCCCCTTGCGTGCGCGAGGGGCGGGGGAGCAAATGCACTGCTTGGGCGCTGCGCTCACAACGAGCATACCTTGCGGATGCGGTCAGAACTGGGGGCCAAAAAAGCTCCCGTGCGCAGGGGACCAAAAGTAGTGCCTTCGGAGTGAGGCCACAAGGAGCATACCTTGCGAATGAGGTCAGATCTGCGGGAGTCGTTCTTGTCAGCCTCCTCGAAGGCCTGAAAGTGTTCTGCGTCGCGTTTGGGATCTTTCGCTTTATTTTGTCTGTGTCGCAACGAAAAAAGACTACGCCTAGAGCTGAACAGTTCGTCGCTCTTACCGCTTCCGACCGGCCCATTCGATGCTCGCCGTTTTTCACCAGCAGCAGCACCATGGATTCGACCCTTGACATGCGTTTTGTTACTAGCGTACACGCAGCTCAGATAACATACAGGCGCATCACGTTGCCGTACTTGCCTGCGCAGAGGGACTTGGTAAATGTTGTTCGAAAATGCCCCGGAACGCCTGCCAGTCAGAAAGTTGTCAAGGAAGTGAACAATGCGTGGTCGAGAGAGGCGCTTCGTGCGGAAATACATTTTGTTGTTCCATCGCAGCTGCTCAAGTAAGTAGTTTTTGTGTTGTTCTTCGTCTTCCGTTGTTTTCTTCCGCCGCATGCATGGAAATTCAAAATTTTTATTTGATGATCTTTCTCAGCTTCAGTTATACCGCACTATAGGTCAGCGTCAGGACGAAACTGTGACTGTTTTTAAGGAAGTCGAAGTGTTATGAGGCGGCCTCAATGCCCACGCTCAGGCAGCTGATTTGCGTGTGCAACAAGCTCTAGGTCTAGTCGAGCGTGAGTGCGAGCACCACCCAACCGTGCAGGAGCGTGCGGAGGCTGTTACATAGCCTCGGGATCTGCTCCATCATTTACCACTTGCTGCACTAGGTGGCGAAAACGAAAACAAAGCTGACATTGGATGGCAGAGCAGAAATAAAAAGCAAAAAGGCAACGTGGCAGGAGCTCCTTGGCATTCCGACGTCGGCGAGGCACGCGGGGAAAGCCAAGCGTGATCAAACGTGTCTTATAGTGACCTTTCTCCTGGTCCTGGAAGCGCGCATTCAGCAATCCAAGCACTTCTGAAGCCGTTTGGAAGAAGGTACGCCCAAGTTTACGGCATCGGGACTTCGGGACGACGCGCAAGTTCGCAAAGTGCTGACGGAAAACCGGGAGGAGCCTTGCGTCACGGATCGACGAGCAAGACATGGACATTGTTTGATTTGCAGATGAACTACAAGCAAAGGGAACGACATACCAACGTGAAAGAACTGTAGCCGACCTGCAGCTCCACATCCAGGCTCACTAAACAACTTGCTGCCTCAACAAGCGAATTTTGTCGAAGCTAGGAGAAAAAGTGAAAGAAGAAGAACTGCACGGGCACAGGGATTGCAGTAGCGGGGAACAAGACCTGCAACGGTCGCAGGCCGCTGCGGCATTCATCAACACAGCTTCTGCACGTTAAATCGCTTGGCGTTCCTCGAAAGCCGACAACCCTAGCGCGTTCGCCCGGAATCAGTAGCCTCCGTGTTCCGTTTAATCCATGGTGACACCTCCCGCAATGTCGGAACCAGCAACAAGCTCAACCGCTCCGGCGGCCGACGCCCCCGCGAAGGCGGCGAAGCGCGCCGGGATAAAATTTTCCGAGCTTTTCAAAGACAAGAAAATAGTACTGATTACGTTTGGTTGGTGGTTCTTTCATATCACTTACCCTAGTCACATAGGGAAATTTGATGTATCCATGCGCATGCGTATGTAAGAAAGTACTTTTTTTCACTCGACGTTGGAAGTTCATATTTCATTGTGATTCTCGCAGTCTTGTTGAAACAATAACAATCAGGTACAATGCATAACGAAGTTCCACCCGCTCATGTGGCTAAAGTTGAAAATGTGCTCGAGAATACTTGGGTGGCGACTCCCAGACGATATGTTTTCAAGCATGCTTCCCTACCTGAACGACCAGCTGGGAATAGGCAGACCGGACCTAAATATACACGAGGTGGCAGAAGTGGGAGACGTGGACTCGCTGTGGCTCATGGTGTTGCAAGGTAGCTTCAAAGTTTTGTTGCACGATGACAGCAAGCATGCGCGTACACCGAATTATGTCTCAGATTCAGTTTGTCTCCTTGTCCTTTGTGCGTGATGCCGAAATAAGAGGCAACATCGGGGACGACCGGGACTGCAACTACGAAACAAACAGGTGTATCTGTGCGAATGAAGTGTCCGTATACGCAAGCCACGCTGCTGCAGAAGGCCGTACACAGTGGGAATCCCAACCTGGTGCACATGCTCCTGGCCAAAAACGCCTCGCCAAATGTAAAGGGAACCTACGGGTACACCGCCTTGCACGAGTGCGCATACACAGCAACGGCAAGAGTGGCGCGGCTGCTCTGCGAGTACAAGGCTAATTGCGACGCCATATCAAAAAACGGCAGCACACCGCTGCTCGTTGCCGCAAGAGAAGGAAAGACAGAAATAGGTACAGAAGATGACTTGATGCTTTTTGTTTATGAGTCTCCTGTAGTTCTTGGAATTACAATTATGTGCCGTTTTTCTTTGCAAAACCGAAACCATCCGCACACTCGGATTGCGTACCGCAACTCGGATTGCGCAATTTATCATAATATCAGTGGCAGAGCTTTTAAAGCACAACGCGCACCCTGACGACGGGGGCGACAAGGGCTGGACGCCGCTTTTCTTGGCCGCCAGCGAGGGCCACGTCGCCGCAGCAGAGGTGCTGCTCGCGTACGGTGCAAATCCGAATGAGGTGGCGCTGCAGGAGGGCCGCACCCCGCTCGAGGAGGCCATCGCGCAGAACAAACCCGAGATGGCCGCGCTCCTGCATAGGCATATGGGCGGCGCAGGAGACGCCGGGATGGCCGCTGTGGAGGGCGTCTACGCTGCCGCTGCGACTACCCAAGCACAGCATCAGCTTCTACAGTATTTAGGAAAACTGAAATCCCCGAGGATCCTGTTTTTCCTGCGTTTTGGTTTTTCTTGCCGTTTCTTTGTTTTTCTGTTTCTTGTCCTTTTACGTACTTAAAACTACGATGCTCCGAGAAGCAAAAATCAAAACGAAACAGGACGCAGCACGCGATTCATGAACTTCAACGGCAGAGACAAGCCTTGGAGCAGCACTTCATGACCAATCCTAACGACCCAGCTGCCGCACAGATGCTCGAGCAGAACGAGATTCAGCTCGAGCAGTATCTACTTGCTCTGACACAGGTATGAATATCCTCGAAAGGATGTGAAGACGTTGAGATTAATATTCATGCCGATTTTTTCCGGTGCAGCAAAAGCAAACACTCGTTGCTTGGTGTTCGTTCATGTGTTGAGAAAAGGCTTGCGGGAAGCTCTCACGTTGTGGTCTGTTTACTTACTTTTTTACATAAATAAAGATTCATTCTCAACATAGGTTCAAGCGCAGGTCCAAGCAGAGCAGCAAGTGGCCGCTTTGCAGCTTCCTCAGGAACTTCCTCAAGAGGACGAGGACGAGGAGGGCCTGATTGAATCAGCAACGAATGCCCTCAAGAACGTCGTGGTATGTTGAAAATAGACCGGCATTTTTTCTCTTTTTTTGGATCCAGTGAGTGTTGCGCGAGATGAAGAAAGTCAGATCATCTTGCTATAGCCATCTTCATACTATCGGAATAATAAACACGTGAGAATGAGATGATCAGACCTAACTATCGTAATAAAATAAAACAGCTTGTGTCCCCCAACGAAGTAGACGACGTAGCAGCCGACTTTCATACGCCCGTGCATGAGAAGCAGGACAACATGGACGTAGCTGCTGACTGACAAAAAAGCTCGCGGAGCAGCGCTTCGTCGCAATAATTGCAAACGACCGCGAGAGGACCCTTGCTTCGCGGGAACTATTTTCAGTTTTACAGTGCTGGGAAAACAAGCAGGTGCCCGGGGAGGAGAATTTGAATTGTTTTGCGTACCCCCACTGCTGCTGCACACGCCGCAAGTGGAAGAGGATTAAAGACAGTTGTGAAGCTGTTTTGTCAATCAGAGAGCCTGTCGTGCATGTGCTGTAAGTATTTTTGTTTCTGTTCGGTGTTCCTGATTCTCGGCATGTTTTCGATCTGCAGAGAAGTCTTTTCGAGTGTAATTTTGCTTGATTGGATGTTCTTTCGGAGCGTTGTTTCTAGGAGCGAATGAGTATCTCTCATACATCGTCACAATCAAAGCCGCAAACTTTGCAAGCTCCGACGAAAGTAAGAACTGAAAACTGTCGAAAAAAAGAGTTTCGTTGTTGTCACGAGGTACCCAAATACACACTCGTGTCTGTTTCCCAGCCGCAGGGCTTCTGACTAGCGGAAGTATGTTGATTTTACGCTTGATCATGTAAGATAGCTGCTGAAATCTAGCTTTTCATCACGAAAACAGAATGATAAACTCGAGTCCGCCGCTGGGTACTACTAGCAGCGCTCCACCTCCGTCGATGCTCTCATGGAGTGCTGTAAATGAGGTGGTGGAGGCGCAGCTGAAGGTCGCAATCGGGCGCATCGCCACTGCGTTTGAGCAGGAACTAAAAAAGCTGGAGGAGAAAATGGACCACGAGCTTCACGCCAAAGTGGCGCTACTGCAGCGGGACTACAACAAGTGCCAATCGCGGCTGCAGTCGGTGGAACACATCGTGCGCATGTCCAAAGAGAAATCGATTCTTGACGCGCTCGGCGTTCTGGACAAGAAAATGGACGCGTTGGAGGACAAATTCGTCGGCGAGGTCGGCGTGCCCATTCGGGTACAGATCGACGACGCGTGGCGCGGCAAGGCGCACGAGTTGCGCGACGAGCTTACCGAGTACCTCGACCAAGGGTTGCGCGGCACGAAAACGGACACGGCGGAGCTGGACATGCGATTCCGGTCCTTCCACGGTTGGTTCAAGGACGTGATCACGCCCGAGCTGGCGAAGATGCACGCGCAGCTCGAGACCGAAGCCACGGTCCGGGAAAACTCGGACGAGGCCCTGCTTTCGGTGCTACAGAAATACGCCAAAGTGATGCACCGCCACTTTCAAATCAAGCCCTTCCAGCGGAGTGAAGTTTTCACCGCCTGGGGCACGAGTACCGACGACAGCTTGCGGTATCGACCACCGCCGGGGGGACGCGGCACCGGTGGCACGAGCGCGATCCGTGGGCTGCTGGGCAGCTTTGACACTGCTGCGACAACAGGACGGGATCAGCATGTCGGGGAAGAAGTGTCCGACCAGCGTAGACTCGGGCTGCTCTCGCGCGAAGGACAGCACTACATGGAAATGCGGCATCCGGCGCGGGGAGTGAGTCCAAGTCGTGGCGAAGATTCAGCCTCCACTTCGCCGCGACAATTCTTTAGTAGGGCCAGCAGCAGGGATAAGAACAAAGCATCGAAGCAAGCGCCGACCAGTTCCTCTGGAAGGGGAACTGATCCACCAAGGAGCCATGCAAGGAACAAAATCGGCGCTGTCCTCGGAACGACTGAATCCTCGTCTTCGTCATTGTCTCGGACGGTTGCCAATCCCGCCACTCAGAGATGGTCCCTCGCGTCAAGCGCAGGGCAGACGAAGGGTACGACTACACCAGCGCTAAGCAAAGACGCACCGCGGGAAAATGGGGTTGTGCGAACGCAGAATCTTCAGCAGCCAGCTCCCCCAAACAAGGGCAAACCCACTTCGGCGGGGTTTGTATTGCCTCGAGAGCTGCAGAAGCAGATGGCGTCCAGCTCCGGCGAACCGCGTCCGTCCACCGCCGAGCAGACAAATAAAGTGGAGAGCACGAGCATGCAGATGCAGCCTCTTCTTTCCGCGATGGGAGACGGAGTTGCGGTAAAGGCCAGATCGAAATCATCCACCGACGAAGCTGAGGCAGCTCAGGATGTTCAGCCGGATTTTGAGGTACCCAGTACACGACCGGGTGGTTCCCGTTTGCGACCGCAAAGTAAGACTGGAAGTGCAGATGTGATCTCCGCCCCCGCAAATGGAAATGGAAAAGGAGTCGACTCCAGGGGGGAGAAAGAAAAACCAGACTGGAAGTCTCCGGTCGTCTCTCCAGTGGTTACGTCGACAAGCAAGGCGAAAGGCTTCGGTTCTATAAAAAGAAAAACGACCAACACCGACAGCACCGGAAATGAAGGCAGCTTGAGCTACGACACCATTCTTCAAGCAACCAAGATGCAGCGGAAGAATGGCTTGACAGAAGTGTCTATTCTTTCCAAGAAAACAGCTGCGAAGTCTTCAAGTAGTCCTCGCCTAAAAAATGACGGCAGGACAGGAAAAGGAAACATGCAAACACTTGATACGCACCAGGACACAGAGGAAGCGTTCTAACGCAGGACGAACTCTGCTGCTACGACAGATTTTGTAGCTCTCGATACGGTATGAATCATTTTACGATTTTCTGGACTCCATTCATGTGTTCGTCTGGCAAGGAGCGGGCGGCATGGACACGAATAGCTGTGGTACGTCGTTACGAGTCAGAATCACAAGGGAGAAATTGAAATACCAAAAATACGGAGAGTTTGACGTGTGCTGACAATGGAGCGCAAAGTGGTCGTGCGAGATGGAGTGTGTCTTGCTTGTTTTTATTTTGACGCACAAGCCCTCACAACAAGTTATCCACATTCATCTCAAAACAGGACCTCATCGAGTTCAATATCATTGTACGTCTGCTATCCTGTCGTGTTAGTGTTTCGGCGCCTTCGTATCAGTTTCTGATTGCATTTTTGAATCATCTTTCTAAAAAAGAAATATTGCTGCAGTATCTATGCTAAGAGTAAGGGAAAGGGAATGATTTGTCGGATTGTTGCTCTATATAGTTCCATTGCGAGTCGTGCCGTTTTCATCCGCTTCGTTAATAGGCACCCACGCCCAACGCCTCGAGACTTTCTGCTGCTTGTGGACGCAAGCGACGAGGGAAACAAATGGGCTGTTGCAGCTCATCCCCCGGGTTTGTGATGCCGGGGGTCCCCGGAGCCGAGATCTTGGATGACGATGAGTTTATGGAGACCTTGATGACGTTGGAGTTGATATCCTGAGTAAAAACGTACCCACACCAGAGTCAGGATGGGGATTTTGCAACACAAACCTAGGAGTTTTGTGAGTCACGCATGACAAGTTGCGCTATGCAGTGTAGTGCAGGTTAGCACGTGCAGCCGCATCGCAGATTCATCTGCTCATCCTGTTCACAGCAACACAAATTCCAAAACACAATTGGAAATGGCTCTCATGGGGATGCGCATGTACAAGTCTTCCTGTCTTTGCAAATCTGCATTACAGCTCTGGCGTGGGTACGTTTTTACTCAGGATAGTTGAAGTACAAGACCTTCGACAGCACCGCCCTCTACACCCGCGGAGAGCGGCAGCGGCAAGAATACTCCGCCGACGAAGATTCGTGGAAGCAGATAAAGTACTTTGAGAAGCAGGACGAGACTTCGGCCGGGCTCATCTTCAAGATGAACTGCGGCGAGTATGACAGTGCACAACTCCCCCTCCCCCTCATTTGTCATGCAAAATACCAAACTCACACCTTGCTCGTAAGCACTGCTAGCATGACAAATTTTGGAACCTCAAATAGTACTACAATCCGCATGCAGATTTGTCATGCGAAAGCCCCTTTTCTGCTGTTGCTTGTGTTGCTGTTCATGCAACACAAATGAGGGGCGGGGGAGTTGTGCACTGTCATAGCGAGTGGCTCATGCTGGAGCTCACCAGCGCCGGTTTCTGGTGGTCGCACCGGCTACCAACGGACTCGAAGCGCATCGCCGGCTTGCAGAAGCTGACCACCTCGGAGACGTGGCGAAAGCCGGTCCCGATTCACTTTGTCAGGAAGTTGCTAAACGACCAGAGGGAGCGGTGTTATGAGCGAGGTAGAATTTATTTCTTCTAGTACCGGAAAAAATTTCAATTCTTCATTGCTGCAGCTTATCGCAGGTGCTCTTTCGATACTCTGTGTGATATGGTCTCGGAAGAAATATTTCACGAAGCTTTTTATCGAAATTCACAGGTTCGTTGTTCAACTTTAGCGAGTTCGCCACGACAATATACCGGAAAATTCTCGAAAAGGATGAAGCCGAGGTCGCGGCGGAGATCAAGAAACAGGGTATCGAGTTGGCGTTGCTGACAGCGGAACAAAAGGCGGCGTTGCTTCACAAGCACCATCGCGATCTCACGCGGTTCAGTTCCGATCCGAGAGAAGAGTAATATGCCAGAGAAATTCGTCTAGCCCCCAGCTGCATGATCTGCGCCGCGAGCTGCATGGGTGCTCCTGTGCACCATCAGGGTTAGCCTGCGCAAACGATGCTTTGGTGCATCTACTTGCGCGCTGTATCGGAGTACGCGAGCGACGTCGGCGACCACGATACGGGCTCAGTGGAAAAATCAAGCGACAAGATTGATGGGCTGCAGAGGACGCAAACCAATTCGCTGATGAAGGAGGTCCAGCGTACGCAAAACCCTCAGGCGCATACAAAATGTTTATTGCACCCGGCGAACTTTTGCCAACGAGAAATGCGACCAGTGACGAAGGCGGCCGGGCAGAACCAACTGGCAGACACGCGAAAGAGTGGTTCGAAGCGAACGCACGAGTGCTGCCTGGTACGGTATTTATTTCTGCAGGAAGATCGTAGTGCTAGTTGCTCGGGATGGCCCCGCCATGAGAACAAAGCAGAACCAACCCGAAAGAGAACGAGAAGACGAATTGAACCGTCCTGGGTACGGTGCCTCATCAGGGTCAATGGACCAATGCTCTTCATGTTGTATGTCGCAAAGGTTACTGTGGTTACAGAACCAATAGATCTAAATGTAAACGTTACATTTCTTCAACGGACGATAAAAATCGTCTTGCGGTATCTGACAGCACGATTAATTTGTCAGCGTAAATCTAAATTGGCAGGCACTTCTCTCACGACAGCCCATTGTGTTCGCCTTGATGTTTCACCTTGCGTGTGGCTTTGGCTTTTATTTTGTTCGTCGATGTACCTACTCGATGATGTTTTTTGTGAGCGCGGCAGAGAGGGCGAAACTTACGAGAGGAGAGTCAAATGGCCATGGCGAGGTACTACATTGTCAGCGAAACGCAATTTATGAGACCATTCGTTGATTCTTGCTTCTGCGGTCTGGTGATTGTTCTAGTGTTGATCTAAAGTTAAAGTTTAAGTTTAGGGTGGTGGTAATTTTTTCGTTTTTTTGTTCTTTAAATACACTGTGCTCGCTTTCCTGCGCTGACGCCTCGTTCTTCCGACCGACACAATCTTCGGTGAGAAGTGCAACGCCCCGCTCACAATTTATTGCCGACGGTTCTCTTCTACATCTACTTCTTCGCAAGAAGAAAAAATGACGGTGCTCCCTAGCCCTACTCCCACCACGGGGACCGCGATAGCCACCTCCGCCGGGCCGTTTTCCTCGATGTTGGAGTTTGACGTCCACCGCGAGCTGTACCGTTCCGCCTGTTCCGTCGTGTTTTTGGCAAGGGTGAAAACTGGTAACGACGTCGTGCCGAAGGGCACGCAGGTGGTACTCAAAAAACGACCGTACACCGCAGCGGACCTGCAAAACGAGCAGCAGCCCGGCAGTGCGCCGAAGCGGATGAACAAGGCCGGGCGGAAGAATATTCTCGACAATTTCAGTTTGCTGCACGAGTACGGCCTGCTTATGGAGTGCCGCGGGCACAAGAACGTGATTGACTGCTACGGGTACTTCCTCGAGGACCGGCACCTGGTTCTCGTGATTGAATACGCGGCGAAGGGAGACCTGAACAAGGAGTTGCGGATTCGGCAAAAGACCGCGAAATCGTTCCGCGAGTCCGAAGTTTGGGACCTGTTTCTGCAGATTCTGCACGGATTGCGATTCGTGCACGGGAAGGGCATCGTGCACCGGGACGTGAAAACGCTGAACGTGTTTTTGACCAAAGACGGCTATTGCAAGCTCGGAGACTTCGGGGTGTCACGCCGGATGGAGCCGGAGTGCGACCTACTGTCTTCCTTCTACGGCACGCCGCTCTACCTCTCCCCGGAGATCATCTCGGGGAGCGGGTACACCAGGAAAACCGACATTTGGAGTCTCGGGGTCGTGTTGTACGAAGTGGCCACCAATGGGCGGATGCCCTTCTCGGGAAATTCTTTGCGCGACGTCACCAACGCGGTGCTCGCGGGCCGGTACAAGGCTTTGCTCAACAAAAATTTTGGGAAGATTGTACATCTGTGCCTGCAAAAAGACCCCAACCGCCGCCCGAACGCCGACGAGCTGTACGCCCTTGTGAAGGAAATGATCACCGCCAGCAGAAAGCAAGAGCGGGGGATGCTTAATAGCCCGGAGGACGGCGACATCTTCACGGGAAGTGCGGCGAGCAGCTCGTCTAGTCGGCGTGTCGTGCAGAGTGCGTCCTCCGCGGCTCCCTCGTCCTCCTCGTCTTCAACTGGTGTTGCACGCAACCGAAGTAATGATCGGAGGAGCGGACCGGCATCGTCAGCAGTGAGCAGCAACAGTAGCGCTGTGGTGTCGTCGTCGAGTAGTCACGCGCACTGGAACAACATTCGTCCAGCGGAAGAAAGGCGGCTCCGGGCTGCATCGATGCAGCGTCCGCCCTATTTTCCGAGTCATGAAGCACAAGAACGTGCCGCGGCGGAGGGTAGTGGCTCTCGCGGGCGAAGACGTCGAGGGGATGACAAAAACAAGAGCGCGCGGCAGCGGGCTGCGTCCTGGGTCCCGACAGCAGTCGTGGAGAATGAGCAACGAGCATCCTCTTCCGATAGCGAGCGACGCTTCCCACCGGGCGTGATGACGCGCCCGCTTCGCTCCGGTGGCAAAGTCGTCGGGCGAACTGATTTTCATGATCCAAAGAAGGAGCACTATGCTGCTGCATTGCAAAATTCGCAGCGACGTGCTGAAACTGAAGGTGCCTCTGACGAAGCGCGTGTCGAGGATCATGACAAAGATCCCGCCAGCAAGCGAAGATCCGTAACGCCAAAAATTGGAGCCTTGAATTCCCCTAATATGGAGGCAACTAAGCCATCTGCTTTCGGCACGTCTAGGAGAGAAGCATCGCAGCAGGAGAAAAATGCGAATCTGCTTCTTGCAGATGACGATGACGACTCGGATACGTGCCTGCTGCGAGACCGGCTCTACGAGCAGGTTCTCGCACGACACCACAGCCGATCGCGACGAAATGACCAGGGGCCGGCTCCTGATGAATCCGTGTCAGCATTTCGCGGTGCACACGGCCAGGCAAGGCTCGACAACCAGAACAAGGACCACGACCGTCTACACTCAGGAGAGCCCCGTCCGACGAGAAGCCATTCCAGGGGTCGCGAGCGTAGTAGGAGCAGCAAAAACCGTGCCTCGCCCCCACGCGGAACCTCGCAATCATCCCCGAGCAGTCCTCGCACTCAGCGTGAGCGTTCTAGATCCAGAAGTGCTGACAAAGGTGGAGACAGACAACATGCTATTGAGCGGCGATCTCGCTCCCGTTGCGCCAGCGGTGAGCGGCCAAAGCAAGTCGCTGCGTACTACCAGGACGCGCATACCACACCGCCGGAGCAAAGGCAAAGTCTTTTGCGCGATGCGCCTTTGACAAAGGATCGGCGAATGCTGGCGGAAGGCACAGAGGACGACTTTGCGTTTTCGACGTCGTTGTATGGCAGCGCTGCTTGTTACCCACGCCGCCCCCGCCCCGCGGGGAAGCCGTCTGACTTCGGTCGCGAGACCGGTGATGGCAGCATTGCAGTCGTGCGCGTTGGAAAGCGCAAAAAGCAGGCGGCGCCTGCAGCTCCACTGGACGACACGGACACAGAATCTTCCTTAACGCCGCGCTTCTCTCCGCCGGGTCGGCGAAGTTCGCATTCGCGCAGTTCCCGTCCGGGCCAAGAAGTTTTCCACAGGCCCCGCGATCGGGATCATGAAAAGGAGCGACTTCGAAATTCTGCACCACCGGGACGCGCAAATAAAAACCGCGGAAACAATAACGACGAACGAGAACCTGAGACGAGGACACGACATTCCGGAGAGCGTACCACGAAGAACCTGCCGTTCGTCGGGGAACTCCGATTGCCACAGCCAAAACAGGTCGAAGGATCGCCCCTGGCGTCAGCGCGGACAAATCTCGTCGGGAGTCCAGAGTACTTCGCGAAGCAAGGACCCGTACTGCGGTTGCACGACGAACCCACAGCCGCGCGAGTGCTTTCGGGCCAACAAGACATGGTCGGCGACCCCGACAACGCGTGCCTCTCGCCGAAGTTGTCTCCATCGCGAGCGGAGCCCGTCTCTCCGTCGGTGCTCTTCGACCATGAGGCGGCGCATCACCGGCTCTGGAAGGCCGACGACCACATGTCGCCCAAAGACCCGCGGTATCCTCTCGCTGAAGTCCCGTGGTCTCGGTCGCGACCTGCAGCGTCTTCGCGGGCGGGCCACCGCGGATCAAAACATCGAGATTTTCAGCAGCACAGTGTTATCAACTACCTTCGGCACAAATCTCCGTCGTCCCTGTCGACCCGCGCCAGCACGGGAATGAAAACGAGTAAACCCACTACTTTGTCCCGTCCCCAGTCCGCCCGCACCCAGAGATGGCAGGGGCGACGCGAGGATCAACTTTCGGCCTCTTGGCGCGCCACCGGAGTGGTCGCTCCGCCACGCGGCGATGAGAACTGGGCACCGCAAGAACGGGGACTGCACAACTACGCGACCGCTCCGACTCAGCCGCCCGCTCGCATTATAACGGTGAAGAAACAACCTCCCATAGTACCTTGTTCCAGCACCACGGAGGAGGTGGAACCAGCTGCACCATTGACAGCTGAAGAACAACGGCGGGAGCACATCTTTGGCCCCGCCACCACGCGCCGGCACTGGTACATTGACAAACACCAAAACCCCGCGACCAAAGTGGAAACGCTGGTGGCGCCCCCGGCGGCAAGAAGTACGGCTCCCGCGGGCGGCCTGCAGCGCCTGGGAACGAATGCGGGGCCCAGGACCGTGAAAATCCGCAGGTTCGACGTCATCAACCAGATATGGGTCTGACCATGGCTGCTAGTGCTGACGTTCCCCGGCCGCAAAGTCCTATCAGCCGCAAGCACCTCGAATGTCAAGGGAACGAGCTGCGAACACTAGATAAACAATGTAAATGTAGAAGTTCAACAACCTGATGGTCTTCCTTTTTTTTGTGACGTGTACCCAGCTCGCCCCCAAAAGAAACGATAATGAACTCGAGAGCAGATGCAAAATGCAAGTGTACTCAGGTTTAAGTTGATTGCAGATTCCAGCAATTGGTCGGCTCGTCGTGCTGTTTTCAATGATGCCTGGTCGCGTGGCAGCTCTATAGGTTGTTCCACTGGAACCAGCAAGCTTCAAAAAGTTTCTTGAAAGGTGCAAAGGGTTAAGTCAGGACTGCATCGTGTCTGAAAGGCAAACAAGATGATAGAAGTCGCGCCGCAGTTGAGAATCAATCGGCACGACGGTCCTACAAAGAGTAGTTTTTAGTCAAGTATATCTGCCTTTTTTTGAGCAGCTGAAGATGTGAGACGGACATGACGAGAAAACTGCAGAAAATTTCCCAAAGGAGCTGACTAAGGGCAGAGGTCTATTTTGTAATCGGGAGGTTCATTTTGCAATCAGTTGCGTTTTTCGATTCGACTGGTGAAGTCCAGCATTGAGATATCTATGCTTGCCGGACTTCCGGTGTTAGGTCGCTTTGTGCTTCTATCTGATCATTCTGAAGAAGTTGTTTCTACTAGACCAGCTTTTTCAGTGCCGCTGGCTGGAAAACGAAGACGCAGGAAGACTGTGAACAGCGAACTATATTTATGCTTGCTATCTAGCAGTTCGGCACCAGTTTAGCAAAGAAGGATATAGAATGTCGACGTATGATCCGGATAGTTTGTTGGCCCCGAAGCGGCAGCGCCTGCGCCGCGAGAACGAGGGCGCCAACCTTCCGAAGTATTTGGAGAAGTTTTCCGAGAAGGGCTCCGTGCCCTGGTTCGGGACTTTACAGACGGAGGAGGACCGGCGGGACTACATCGAAAACGACTGCATGGCCGAGAACGCCAAGTTCTTGAGCCGCATGAAGATCCGGTCCGGCAGCTACGGCATCACCTGCGGATTTTTGGAGACGCTCCTCGACGACCAAAACCACGTTTCCGGGGATTTTCGTCAGGACTTTCGCAACGCGACCACCGTCGACGACATGCTCAACCTCCTGGCACACTGGCCAAAAGACGACGAGGTGGCACTCAAGCTCACCAAGGAAGAAATTATCGAAGTACATTTTTTTTTATCATCTTCATGTTCAAATATTCTCGATCTCGTCCCGAGAGTTGTTTTCATCTAGTAGTTGCAGAGGAAATCTGATCTTCCATCATGATCATATTTTTTCAATTATCACTTTGAAATTGGAGGAGTTTTCGTATCAATCTCCATGAGCATTATGCCAAAAATGCGACATCTAAAAACAGCGTTCGCAGAAGTACTGCAACAGCAAAATGGAGGCAGACCCCGACCAAGATCGGATGTTCGGCGCGTGGGCCGCGATGATGAACATGTGCGAGAAGAAGGGGCTCTTTCTGCGCGGGCGACGGGGGCGGGAGCACGAGTTCTCTCTTTCCATTCCCGGACGCATTTTCCTGGCCCAGTTCCGCCAGAAGCACCCGGAGTTTCTCGACACTGCGCAGGAGTTTATCGAGCACAACGAGTCCGACTTGTCCGACGAAGAAGAGGAGGAAGAGGACGAAGAGGCTGACCGCGCGACCGAATGCTTCAACCGCGACCAGGGTTTTCTGCACCGATTGCGCGACATGATTCTGAAGCGAAAGGCGATGACGCTGGCGGAGTTTGACAACGTCGAGGACGAGGGAATGGAAGGCGCTGACCCAGATCTCGACGTCAACATGAGGATCAAGCGCGAACCAGGAGAAGCGGATGGAGTTTCGGAGGACGGAGGAAGCGAGGACGAGGATGGTAACAAAAAGGAGAAAAAGCCGCGCGAGATCAAAACCGCGCTGGATGTGTACAAGCTCATGAGTCGGCCAGCGCAGCAGAGGGTGCGAATCTTGCGAAAAATCTTGATGCTCAAGGGCAACGAAGCGCAGAAACGCATGTGCGACTGTATCAAGGAGAAGAAGCCGTGGCACGTCCTCGACCACGACTTTTCACTGGTCGAAATGAATGTTTCTCTCCGCTTAGAAAGTGAAGTCGCGCACAGGATAGAGGACGATCATGACGAAGAAGAATTCTGCTGAGGTGAACGGCCTGAACAAGAAAAAGTATTCTGATACTGATCCTGTAAAGGCAGAATTTCTGGTCTGGAAAAACCGATGGAAAGGAAGCAGAAGTGCAACTCTGAAGTCATTGTGTGTGGTTGTGAAGATTTCACTATAGCTCCAGCTTATTTTTTCCACTGATCAAGTTTGATGGCGCTGCAGTCCCCTTTTGTTTTTGAGTGCAAGGAGGATCAATTTGAATATTCGGTGTGGATGTGAATGTCTTTGTCTACCATCTGTGAATCATAAAACATGTTTATTTCCGTGCTGTTCCGCCTGTGTCTTTGATTCGCTTGACAGTCTCTCTTTTTTTTTGCAAGATGTTGGTCCAAGCTCGCAGTCTCGAGCAACTTGCCGTCGAACTGCTGAAGCGCAGTGGCTCTACTGCCACGGAGGCTGGTGTGGTTGCGGCCAACCTGGTTGAGTCGAATCTGAAGGGGGTTGACAGTCACGGGGTCGGGTACTTGCCGCGGTACGTGCGTAGCGCGCTTTCCGGCAACCTGAACGTCAATGCTCCCTTAAAAGTACTAGACCATGACAACTCCACCACGAGCGTCTCGCCTATCCTGCAAGCCGACGGCGATCTGGGCTTTGGGCAAGTCCAGGGGCGAAGGGCCATGCGGCTCGGAATAGAGCTGGCGAAAAATCACGGCGTGGCCCTGGTGGCCCTGAAGAACTGCCACCACTTGGGGCGCATTGGATCTTACGCGGAGCAGTGTGCTGGAGCCGGAATCTGTTCAATTCACTTCACAAATGTGGCTGGACACCAACCCCTGGTTGCCGCAAGTCGAGGCGGCGATGCCAGGCTGGGCACCAATCCCTTCACAATCGGTTGCCCACGAAGTTTCGGGCTCCCAGAGAACGTGGATGGTGATCTTCATGCGACTAACGGTAAATGTGATGACAGTCCGCCCATTGTCCTGGACTACGCGACGAGCGCCATGGCGCTCGGGAAGGTTCGGGAGTACCTCGGGCGCGGGGAGGAGCTGCCAAATTCCGACATCGTGCTGGACGCGGAAGGGCGGCCGACGAAGGATCCGAAGGTTATGTTTCCCCCGGGGAACTCCACCGTAACGACGGCGTCGAAAGCCGATAGTACTGTGACCAAGGATTGTTCCACTTCAAACGACAGGGACTGGTTGCACCCGAATAAAACCGGCGCGTTGCTGCCCTTCGCGGATCACAAGGGGTATGCGCTTTCGTTCCTGTGCGAAATCCTCGGTGCGGTGTTTTCCGGAGGGAACACGATCCATCCGAAGTACCCGCGCGACCAAGGTTTGATTATCAACTCCATGTTGACCCTACTCTTTGACCCTACGCATTTACGAAGCAAGAGTGGAACTGGAACAAATACAACCAGTGGACTTCCTGGTGCCATCTCAGAAAGTCTTCGTACGTTTCAGGACGAAATCCGCTCATTGACCGATTTCATGAAACAATCTGCGCCACGACCTGGTGAGACTCATGAAGCAGGAGCGGAAATTTCACAAGTTCTCGTTCCTGGCGAGTTGGAGGCGCAAGTCATGGCCCAGCGGTTGCGCGATGGTATACCATTGAGCGCGGGCACCCTCACCGAGCTACTCGCAGCCGGTGGTGCCGTGGGAATCGAAGAGCCAACTGTCATGTCAATACTCGAAGGGAAGAAAACTGCGGTTAGTGAGGTGAGTGGTGCCACTAGTCGTGGTACAGATGTGAAGGATGAAGAGGAGAAGGACGCGATTGTCTTCACTGGCAGGAACAATTCTAAAATGGACAAGGAGCAGAAAGAGAAAACTCGGTACGTGGGTCCTTCCAATGATGCGCTGTCGGATGAACAACGACTAATACAGGAGGAAATCCTACGAACGCGACCACGAACCGGGCTCAGCGGGCCTTTCGGGCCATGGCTGGCTTCGCCGGGCGTTGCTGAGACAGCACAGCGTCTCGGAAAAGCCGTCCGGTACGATACAGATTTCAAACCTCGGCAGTCGGAGTGCCTCATTCTTTTGACCGCCGCGTGGACACGAAGCGAGAAGGAGTGGAGCATCCACGAACCAGAAGCGCTTCAGGCTGGTGTTCCGCAGCCTGTGCTCGAATTTCTTGGGCGTGTGAAGGACATGGGTGGCCGGAGAAATGTGCCAGCCATACTAGCCGAGCTTGACGACTTGGCAGCAGATGGAGATGGCCTGCTGCTCAGAATCGGTATAGCGCTACTCCAGCACAGCGATCTAGATGATGATCTCTATGCGGCTGGTATCGAGGCATTTGGTGAGAAAGGCATGGTAGAGCTCGTCTCAATCGTTGGCTACTATCAGTACGTAGCGCTCACCCTGAATGTTTTTCGCCCCCCAGTGTAAATATTCGAGTCGCAAAAATCTCCATATCAAAGTGTTCACGCTGAGAAAGTGAAATGAATGTAATGAAAACGAAAGACGCTGTTGAAGGAAGTTCTAGAGCATGTCGGTCCTACTTCACCTATCAGTCCTCAATGCAAGGAAAACGAAAGAAGTCGGTGAAGCAAGTGCAAGAGCATGTCGGTCCTTAACCCATCGTTCCTTAGCCCATCGTAAGAAGTACCTGTCGTGCAGCCTCTTAGTCTTATGTGCGATTTCAATCGGCAACTCGTTCAAAAACAGGTATGCAAGCCAGTAATTGACTCGTTCGTTTCACCACCCCTTTGTTCGTGCATAATAAACGTAGCTTGCTGACATTATATTTTTCTAACGTCAAAATGTTGGTTACGATGTAAAGGCAAAGGCTCCTTCGTTCTATTCAGCGAGCACGATTTTCCAGAAACATCTAGGTGTACTTCGTGGCGGAAAGAAAAAATGTGTACCAAGTGTACGTGTGTAGTATAAAAATGTGTAGCATGTAATGCTACAATGACTTAGATTTTGTTATGTAGAAGATGTAGTAGTTGCGCGGGCGCACAGTGCTACTGTCGCTGGAATAGTGACACCCGTCCGCCGCAAAGTATTGAAGCCGATCTCTCCCGCTACCAATCTAGCGCTTCCAAGAACATTCTTTTACGTTCCTTGCAAATAAGTCTCGACTCAAGTTTATTTTCCAAGAACATTCTTTTACATTCGGTATCGGTTTCGGATTCGTAAGTCCCAACATGCCGGTGTTTGAGCGGATGAAGGATATGGGCCGGCGCAGCCTGTTTTCCGTAAGCACTTTCACACGGAAGGCGGGCCGCATCGTTCGGCGCAGTTCTCAGGTTGCCGCGGTGGTGGTGACGGATGGTGACGCCGAGGACACGGAGTCCGGCCTTAGCTCCTTCTGGCGCTGGGCGTACCGCAACCTAAACTTTGGTCGGTATCAGCCGTGGGACGAAACCATCCAGCGCACGGACATCGAGTACTATGAGCCGAAGCTGTTGGTGCGGCTGCTGGACAAATTCGCCCGGCGCATGGACCGCGCCGGCGAGGTCACCGCGGGGGATTTACCCCCCACCTACTGTGGGGCGTGCTGCAGTTTTTTCCTGATGATTTTTGTCGCCATTTTCGCGCAGATGGCGCTCGGGGATCTGTTGTCGAACCAAACCAACCTGTCCGCCTGGGGCGACATCGTGCTCAATGCCGACTACTACTGCGCCGGGCTGAATGCGCAGGGCAACCAGAGGGGGTCGGGGATCAACCGGGAGTACCGCGCATCATTATCCCCGCTGACCACCGGGGCGGCCGCCCGCGACGAGTGGGACGTGCCCGGGTGCGAGTGGAAGGGGGAGTACTTCTCGGGGTTTCTCACCTCCGCGAAACCGCCGTACCTGGACGTTCCCGTGCTGCAGATGGCCTGGACCCAGCGCATCGAATTCTCGGAGGCGGACGGCAAGAGCAGCCTGGCGAAAATCAAGTGGGTCGACAAGAACGGCATCCACTTCGGGGGGACCAGCCTGCAGTCCGAGGTGCCCGTGGGGTTCGGGGCCCACGAGAAGACCGCCATCACGTTCAACTCGTACCCGTTCGGGGCGTCCGAGTTCGAGTCCCCCTTCCCAAATATGACGCGGTACATCCGGGAAATGGCGGTCACCTCCTCGACCCACAATTTCGACGAGTCGCTGCGGTACGCGTACAGCGACATGGGCCTGCTGCAGCGCCACAACGAGTTTTTCGACCACGACGCCGTTGCGTTCGTGCGGTTTGACCGCAAGCAGCTGCGCAACGTGAAGTCCTGTCAGCTGCAGTTCGGGCTGGTGAACCGGTACCAGTACGAGGCACTGCGCCCCTACCTGCTGAAGTACACCCGCGAGTACCAAAAAACCGAGCACATGAACACGCTCACCTCGAACAATTTCACCTGGGACCCGTCGGTGTACACGAACAGCGAAACCGGAACCCACCGCCGCCCCACGGAGATGAACAACATGATGATCCTGCAGACCGGGTGGAACGCCACCGACGCGAAGCGGTTTATGCAGAGTTTCCAGCTGGGCAAGTACCAGCTGAACATCGAGCGGCAGATGCGGGTGAATCTCGGGTTTCCCACCGGCTACGTACCGGTCAGCGGCGGCGCGGCGGTGAACCAGACACAACAAGTGGAGGACCTCGCGGCCGCCCAGGTGCCCCTGCTGTTTTCGGATTGGATGCTGTTTGCGTCCTACGTGAACAACTTCCAGCACAGTATAGAGTCCGTCACCTGTGATGGCAAGAGTGGAAAGTTTTTCAATTCCGCATATTTGAAGGCGAATGCTCCGGATAAGGTACTACTTTGAAGATTCTTTTGATACGTCGATATGGATATCGATAATCATAATCGCATAGAGTCCAAAAGTATAAAAGTTCGTTTCAGTGACAGTGGTCGTGCATTGTGGACCGCAACGTATGATGATCTTTCTTCGATGAAGCTCTAGATATTCACCAAAGCAGCTGCTGGAATTGCTTGAAAGTTCTACTCCGTTCCGTTGGCAACTTTCGCGACTGAAGCAAGATAGAATTCAGACGCTGTAAAACCGGAACTAAAGCAATTTGTGGTGGTGCACTTGTGCTGCCGGGTCTTGTCAGGGCCGCCTGAGGTCAAGTTTTCGCTCAGGCGGCAGTCAAGTTTTGACCCAACAATTCGAACTTCACACCTGCTCAACTTCTGATCCGCAACCACAGCAGAACCCAACCAGGATCCAAAGTTCACATCGTTTTTCCACTTCACAACAACAGGTGGCATCCAAATTGACGCTAAAAACCCCTGTGGCGTTGTGGACCAAGAAATTTCCCTTCTACGTCCTGGTGACCGGCAACATGGGGAGCGAGCGCATGCTCGTTACCGGCAAGGGTGACACTGACTACGAGGTGAAAGTAACCCGAGGGAACCAGATAGGCGCCAACCGGCTGAACCACGCGGTCACGCCGCCCAGTGATTACCCGGCCGTTAGCAACCCCACGCTGTGGGTGTGCCCCCCCAACCGCTACAACGACCAGCAGTACTGCGACTGCAACTGCGGCATGACGGACCCGGACTGCCTGCTCGGGATCTACGAGACCGTGTACTGCAACTCGGGCGAGGTGTGCAGTCCCGCCGGGCGGTGCACCCTCCCGGTGTACAACCCCGCGACGTCCGAGGTGGCGGTGTCCGAGCCGTGCGAGCGCATGAACATGCCCGGCGACGTCATTCTGCACGGGTACTTTGGCCACGCCACGGAGTTTCGCGCGGTATGAACTGCAAAAGTATCGTAATCGTATAAATGCATTACAAATTTTCTCAGCATGAGAAATAAAATTTGTAATGCGGATTTGACTTAATGAAAAGATTTGTAATGCATGATTGCCTTACGAATACGATACTTTTGCAGAGGATACGCGGCCAACGGCAACCAGTGCCAGGTCTGCCCGTACGACGAGCTGTACTCCGGACGGACGAACCGAAACGAGAAGAACGAGTACGTTTGTCAATACCGGCCGGACGGCGACATTCCGGCTAGTGAAGTCATGGCGCTGGACCCGACGACCATTCAGACCTACGGTTCCTCCGGCAACGCCACCATTGCTTCCATCATCGACCGCTACCGGATTGTGAAGGCCAGCTTAGGGCCGAAGGCCGGCTTCCCCGTGAAAGCCCTAAACGAGAGCAACTTCACCGTGGAGCTGGACCAGGGCATGGGCATCCACGAGCTGGTAACTGCGATCAAGTCGGAGAAGGTGAACGCAGAGAAGAAGACGCAGGTGCTGCACATCATGGCGAACGGTCTCGCGTTTCGCTACAAGCACCACGCGACCGGGCAGATGGCCAGTAGCATGACTGGAGATTACGCCGACATGGTGATGCAGTTGGACGACGACACTAAGCCGTTTTCTAACACGGGGCCCTACCGAATCCAGATAGACAGTTCCGAGATCGTGATCCGTACGGGATCGAACGTGAAGGCGGAGAGCAGCGAAGACTCTTCGACCAGTTCGTCGAGCAGCTCCTCTTCGGCTGGCTCGAGCAGGCGGCAGCTGCTGGAGATCAAGCGGGAAAGACTCGGACTTCCCCCACTTGACGATTCGGAGCCAGGCTTTGGTACGGGGGAGGAGGATGCGACGTTGGGGTTATCGTCCTCGTGGTACTCTACTTTACAAGCGCCAGCGGCGGCCCAAGTAGAACAGAATTTGTTTCAGCGACGGTTTTTATCCTCTAGCGATGAGGACAACAGCACAAACTCGAGCAATGCGACGGACGAGGCTGTGGAAAACCTCGGTCTGACGACTTTGAGTGTGAGCACAGTGCAGTCGTGCGCGCGGGCGTCGCCGAAGCGGCAGCGCTTGGACGTGAACAACTACCCCGTGGGGCTAAAATCCGCTGGTGTTCGGGGTATTCTGTCGAGACAGTACACGGCAAACGTACCGTCGGAGGATGTGTCGCTTTACCGGTACTTCTATCCAAACCAGGAGATGGCGGCCGCGGCGACGGAACCGGCGAGAAATTTGTACTTCGCGGACTCCTCGTCGAACAGTATCCCTGGTGCAACGAACTGCTTCACGGATTTCTACCAGACCCCGTACACCACGGCTTGCAGGGTGACGCAAAAGACGTATCGCATGTTTCTGTACCTGCAGACGCCTCCAGCTTCCACGTGGAACGGTGCGAGTGGACAACTGGATCCGAATCAGGCTTGGACGGTCAACGACGGCGTGCAAGTCGGCGGCACCGGAGGCGGCACGCCCCAAAACATCGGTCTGATGCAGGTGAATGGGGTCAAGGAGGCCCTCGCAGAGGGCCTGGCGAACGCCTTCGGCATGCCGAATGCGGCGGGCGTGACGAGTCCGGATGTTGCGGAGGTTCAGCTCAGCACCGTCCCTTTCACGGTAGGCGGAAACCCCAATCCGGCGCTCACCTACACCGAAGATCTCTCGAAGCGGGCAGCCAACCTCGAAATTCGCTTCACGCTCCGCAAGTGGTACTCGTTGCCGAACTTCGTAGATGCGGTCCTCCCGCCAAACTCGTTTCCCACAATGACGT